CTGAACGAATGCGTGAGTATGTGTTTGGGCTGGGCAGTTTGCATGAAGCCCATGTTATGCACGCTGTTCAATGGATAACTTTCTCAACGTATTTAACACGCTTTGGTACAGGGGAATGACTAACTTCTTTTACAAATGTGTAGTAAAAGCTAGGCCAGGTTGATTAGTCCAGATCAATGAGGTCGAGCATCCGTGCCGCTCACTAAACCAGGTTATACGTACAGCTTTAGGCAATATTGGATTATTTACACTGAATTTGAATTTCGACAATTAGTCGACCGCAAGGCTCTTATGATAATAAATCGATTGATTTATTATCATCGCGTCAGAACGGTGTGACACAACTCCTAGTTACGTTTGTGGACTAGCTGTCTTTCTCTCTGTCTATCTATTTGCTAGTTGTTGTCTGTCTGTCCGCGTTTGCCGCCGCTGTTGGTCATCCTCTCTTTTTGCACTTTTTAATTATTTTATACCCTGTCTATACTGGTCGTAGCGTCAGCAGTGGTGTGTCGATAGTAACGCCAACAGAAGCGTTGTGACACCAGAATGAGCTGTAGGGCGCGCAGCCGCGCGGTAAAACCACATCAGGGTTATCAACCTGCTTTGTAAGAAAACTCTCTTACAACGATAACCGCGTCGGGGCGATGAAAAACAATTCCAAGCAACAACGACAACAACGTCGCATAACTGAGGGTGGCGACGGATGTTAGACGCGTCGTGCACGCGGGGTTGTCATTTTTTAGCCCTGCGTCGCCTATTTTGGGAGTCGTATCTGGTCCAAACGCGAGGTTTCACACTGCACTGAGACGATATTGCGTATTTATCGAAAATAGTAGTTTTGGTTGTCGTCGCCACGGCTACAGCCACCATGACCATAATAACCATGTGTTATACTGCTACTTTATAACGCGGCGGAGAGAGCAGGCAAAATCCCGAATATGCAGAGCGACCCGACCGGGTTCGAGTCAATGTTTCTAGCTAGAAACAACAACATCCCTACCAAAGTACATACCATCTTCATGTTAAGCCGTAAAATGACAAAGTTAGCGAACGGGCAAGTGTTATTGACGTTGTTGATCATACCAGCATCACGATACTGTCAACAGCTTCGAGCATCATACGCCGCTAGTTGGAAGTTTTTTTTTTACTCAGACGCGATGTTAGCACACAGCGGGGCGAGGATAAGTGCTGCAACTGGATTTAACTTGACACCGCGAAGTGGGGTACGAATATGAGGCATAGATAGGCTGTTAATTTAATATGACTATATTATTTATAACACTGGAAGTGATGAAACGGGCAAAGTTGGGGCAAGCTATATTTAATCCCTAATGCTGTCAGATATGAACCCAGTGTGGTGGAATAACAGTTTATTTTTTTATTTATTTAATAGGAAAGTGGTAGTGTTGATATTGTGAGCCAATGTTTATATTTTCCTTATACTAATAAAGTTATACGCGCAATTTTCGTCCACAATGTTGCTTCGTTGGCAGGACCTGATAAAGGTAGTTTTGTCCTCTTTAACTCAGAAGCTTATATATATAACAGTGACATTGAATTACCGTCAAGGAACACTTTCACTATAGATATTCAGATTTTCGTAGATCACAGGTAATTCAGAAACCATTTAGATATGTTCTTCACGCGCATATAAGGATATAGACTTCCTGCCTTTTCTTATCGAGTACACAGCAGTTTCTCTACCCAAAGAACCTACTACTGAACATTAGTGGAAAGTTTTTTTTACATTTATGTATATATATGTACTGAACAGTAATTACACGGACTTTCTGGAGCATAAATAATATTGTAAAGAAATCTTCCATAAGCTATTAACAAGTTCACTCACTTTTTTGGCATATCTAAATTCTATAGTGACTACTATCAGAAATCGAAAACCTATGAAAATGGATTGCACATATTTCAGAACTACTAATTACTTGAGATAAGTTCGGCAAGTTTACAAAAAAATATAACCTCTAGAACGTAGAACGAATTTCTTCGGAACATTTATATTTTTGGGACTTTTTCGTTTTGCAATTACTCCGATCGCACATTACTAAAACGTATCTTACATCTTTTATATTGAATCCTCTTTGAATTTGTCCTACCCTTTTGACCCTCTAGTCATTATAACTAATTGTAACAAATGTAAATTAGAATACGTTATACCGTGACTACTACTTCTATCGTTCGCGTATCTGTGCTCGAAACGTAAACGTTATTTATATGTGGCTCATCCACGCAGCCCAAAGTGGTGTGTTGTCTCCTATTGGTGCCATTAAAACCTGTATGTATCCTTCAGCAAGACCGCACTGCTTGTATTTCTCATCGACTGTATTATTACTAGGAAACGCTATCCTTTTTGTTGAAACTGAATGCTGCGTCTATATATATATTAAGCACACGTGCCATGCGCCTGGCCATTAGTATTCGGCAGGTCAGCTAGATTCAGCTATAATTTTCGCAGGACTCAATGGTAATTTCTAATCTGCCGTCTAGCTGGGATATCTGCTGATAACATATCAACCTAAATATAGCCTGCAAGAGCCCACTGTCAATATTAATTGTCAAAATAACACGTCGTTGTGAAAAAGGCATCAACGCACGTTTTACTTTCGCATAAAGAAACTAAGCTCATTTATGATTTACGCACAAACAAACATAATAAAGTACAACATGTTTCGCAACATAAAAATCTTTTGTGTTATTTTTTTGCGCACGTAAGTTGACATCTCAAAATTTTCAGGAACATATCAAACAGGTACAAAAACGCACTTTTATTATTATTATTACTACTACTATACGAATCTAATATTAGGGTAGAGTAGCTCGCGCCATCTGATCTGAACAGCACAATGTGCCATATTTGCTTACTTCTGCCTATAAAAATCCAAAATCATAATCTCCGTTACTCGCACATGGTCCACACAATTCGTAGATGCGCATTATTACTCCACGCTACCTTTTCTAATCTAATCTAGGCTGATTTCAAACCTGCTTGGTTTAAGCTGAACATCGTTACTGTTGTCCGCCTACCCAGTTGGATTACGGCCATTATCGTTGTTACCGCGATGATGCCTGTTGTCCTATTTCCTTTTGCAGTTCCTTCATGGCCCTGCTTGAATAAACTCCTTGAATCGTTCGGGTCGGAACATTAGTGTGCTGTATGGTCCCATTACGCTGCTTTAGCTATTGCGATCACGGTTTTAGATAATTTTTCACTGTTGAGTTACCTCGATTCAGATATGCCACCGTAGATACACTGACTAGCCAGACAGCCGAACAGAACCTGAGATGATGGCACTTAATAGGCAACTGGGCAAGAATACACGGGACACCGCTACATAGCCGAGTACGTTGAAGCAGAATAGGGTAAGACCACAAGGCTACCGCAGCCAGCTGACTAGGGCGCCCTAGAGGAAAATGGGCTGGGACACAACAAATAAATTCACGATCCTAGTAGCCGTCCCTGCAAGGTTTAGTTCGAAATAACGTTTGAATCAGTTCTAAAGCAAGATTCAAACATACATGGTCTAGGATTTAGTCGGTGAGGATTCCACAATACCTATCAAACACCTTAGTAGTGAAGTGTAATCTGCATTATGCGGTAACCTTTATTCTCCTAAAAATCAAAGATAAGTTACTAAAAAGCTTTCACATCAAGCTAAGCCAGCACGCAAGCCGGTTTTTAGATAATGGTACATACATGATTCGCATAAACATATCAACCCTTCAGATATAAACCCGGTTTCAATAACATCGATCATGAAAGCAACGACAGTCATGCTTGTGTGCAGACTTTCCACAAGACTGATACGCACTTCCATGTATAGAAACTTTATGAGAACGTATGTTATCTCAAAGAACTCATTTTGAAATACCAACTGCGATCTCCTAGATCTAATCCAGTACTATATTCAGCATATTATTTTGTTCTCGGCATTATTAAAATGACACCCCAGATTCCTCTCAAGCATTTCCCTCTATTAATATGAACATTCGATTCAATCGTTGAAGTTGTTTGTGTCAGTCAGAGCATTTCGTCCTCTAGGACCGCAGGTATCATTTTCACAAGGACCAATATGAAGAGATGACTAATATCAGCTGTTAACCTCTAATCTGTGAGGATGAGTAATGTTACAACCCTGCACATGTCGGTGCAGAGTTGAGCAATATACATCTGGTAGGAACTGCCGCAACCGTTCTGTTCATATTGGTACCAAGCAGAATATCTCTACCGATCTGTTTGTCTGGCGTCAAATAACAAAAAAAAAACATAATACAAATCAGAAAATGTATAACTTGATGTAGTTCGTCTCATATCTGGCTATCTATGTCTTTATTACAGCGACAATATTTTTATGTTAGTGTAAGGCGCGTCCGTCACTCAACAGCCATTAGTTTGGGCACGCTAGTACCGATTTCGAGCTAAACTGAGCTCAGTACCTCTGCCGTTAGAAACTTCGTGAAAACGTTGATTATACATAGCGTCACCAAATACTATGGGTGCCCTGAATTATCACATAGTAGATGTGGTAAATCATTTTTAATAAAATAGATTTTTTATTATTCTATAAGTCTGTTTCAACTTAGTTGTACATAGCAACCTCTTTTTCTAGTTGAAAGCACCCTCTATTATCTCAAAACTAGACTTATTAAGTTTTAGAAAATTATATACTTAAAAATGGTGTTGAAGATATCTTAGTACCTTAGGCCCTTGAATTGAGTGCACACTATAATTTAACGATAAAGTACAGTCTAGGAGACTTAAGTAATATTATATTAAAATATAACTTATTTATGCTTATATGCAGTCTTAATCGGTTAGTCGTATTTCGGGGTGGCAGGTAGGGGTGCCTTAGCAACGAACCCCAACAAAACGGGTTAGCATGCGTAAGGAGATCTTTTATTGTCATGTATGCATTTAACAATAGAATAGATGCTGTAGATAAACGAAATTCATTAATATGCTCAATATTATGATGATGTTGTTTCAGAGATGGCTCCGTCGGGCAAGTATCGTGCGTCGGTAGAACTGCTCGGCAGTTACGACCCAAAGGGTCACAAGATTATTCGCGATCCCTACTATGACAGCGGATCAGCTGGCTTCGAGGAGGTGTTCGAGCAGTGCAAACGAGCCTGCTCGGCCTTTATTGAGCAGCACAAGTGATGGCACAGTCTGCGGCAGCCACAACCAAAATTTAACAGCTTGAGAGATTTTTGAATATGTTTTCATTACAGTTTGCAAACCTAATTGTATCATGGGGAAAAATGTTATCGAAATGGGACATATCATCTATTAGACCAGTATATTTTTTACCTTTGAATATCAGTATTATAGTCTTGTACATTAAGTTGATTCAACCGTTTAGTTAATGTATGCCTATTAGCCTGGTGCTGCATTATAATGGTTAATAGTAATGGTATTTGGCGAAAATAAACCTTGCAGCCACCACTAAAGCGCCTTGAAGAGCTTCTAATTTCTCACAGGTTTAATTTACAACGGTGGTGGGTCGCAAATGAATTAAGTTTTAACAATTTATTTTTTTTTATCTGTTGCATATCTAGATATCCATTGTGTATATAATATATTACCAGAGCGTTGGTGTTGTCGGTACATGGCTAGTCATCAAGCTCATGCCATTGGCCGCAATGAAACTCTCTTACTTACTATACTGGCACTAGCCAACTCCCAAAAACCTCGAATTACTTGTTAGTGTAAGTGAATGTAACCATTCATATAGGCGCTACTAATCACTAACCTTCAACAATTGTACCTCCCTCTTCACAAATGCTCTGCGATACCTCCCAGCAACGAAAGATGTACGTGTCCTTTGTGTTACGTGTAATTGTGTCAGCACAGAATCCCTCCAATACCACTATACATGTATACAGCGGTGTCTCTGAATCTTTTCTCTTTTTAGTGCTGATTGATAATTTGTTCATAGCAAAAACCTAAGCGGGAATAGTTGATCGTAACTTTGGTCACACAGCGGAAAATAGCGATACGCTGGCGTCAATGTCAATTTTTTGAATCATATCAGTTGAAGCAATCAACGTTAATGGCGATCTCTAAGCTTAATAGGAAATTAAATAAGGGTTGTCTAGAACAGCTGATCTACCTGCAGGCATATAAATATACATATATGATAAGCGAACACTGTTCTACGTTTGGTCCTCTGCTGTTCTTCACCGATAACAAAAAAATGAAAAGAGACAACGTGATATACAAGTATCGTTTTTCTATCTATAAGCCGATTTCGTTCTGTCGATGTAAGACTAGTGGTCAAGACAACCTACGAAACACTGGGTATAGACTGATATACATTATGCAGGGGACGGTCGCTCTATTTAGGAATCAAAATGATCTTGTGACAACCTCGTCAGCAATAAGCGAACCTAAATCTGATGCACAGGCTGTGTGTTGTAAAGAACTATATAGGATTATATCTCTCCGTGGAATAGCGTAGGTCTATATGAGGAACATAGTAATATAACGATAATATAACAGCACCAAAGACAAGAAAGCCAAGTTTTATCACCAACAAGATTTTTTCGAGTAATCTACTATGATAGCTGTTTTAGAAATCATAATATATGATTATATGTATCATGCGGGGGCGAGCAGAAGTAGATTTCGAGTGTTAGTCTATTTTTGTCCCTCCGTATATATATATATGTAAGGCTGGTAGCATTATTTTAATTATAATGATATTCATTAACTCAGTTAGCTGAGGAAGTAGTAGAAACCGTGTGTGCGTTTTTACGTATATGTGTATCTACGTTAGAGGCACCCAGGCGTGTTTGGCTAGTTTTGAAAGAGACAGAGATTATATAATTTATATTGACATAAACACACATAAAGTGATTCGACAACGACGAGATCATCGTCGCCCAAAGGTAACCGCGCGTTGAAGAATGGAATGGACGGGAGCTCGGAAGGTGTCACACAATTTTGCTTTTGTTGCACATTGTAATAAATGTCTAATCATATTTATGGCACGCTATTTTCATTTTCAAAATACATTGTGTGGGTAATAATTTTTAATATGGAATATCGAAAAGTAGACCTATTATTGCTTTGTTTATTTGTTTGAAGAGCTTTTTATAGTGGTAAAAAGTTTGTTACTGTTGAAACACTATGTCGACCCAATAATAGGTTGATAAATGCACCGATTAGGTGTTAATTCTCTCAATACAATACTGAAGCTCTTTTTATGATGAAAAGACTTGACTTAATGCCGACATCAATTGGGTAGCAACTCCATGGAATCAATAGTACATTCGTCACGCTTGAGCAACACGCATGACGCTCATTCGTAGTCACGCAATGGACTTTGTCCAGGGTCCACATAACAAAACTATCCAATAAATCAGTACCCCGATAAGTTAGGCTGTGAAAGTGTCCACAATCCTGAAAGGCTTAATGCTATGTAAATCTAAGAAAAATTTTCTTTGACAATTACAGCCATCTGTGTGAATTCACATACGGCTACTCATGTCTTGAGGAAGGATTCGGTACTACGATGGAGGCACGTCCTATAAATTATAAGGCTCATCCTACATAACTATATATTACTTAAGCCTGTTTCACAAGCAGTTGTAAGACTCGTGCAACACAACCAGCAAGGTGTCACTGTGAAAAGGACATTGTCTTAAGAGGAGGTTTTTAATTTGTTGAGAACTCTGATCACCAAATAGACTAATTCACACGTTTGAAACTAGCTTAGTGGTAAAACCTGTTATAAATACACAGTGTTACTAATAGAGCAAAAAAATGCATTAACAAAAATAGTCAGGATAAATGACGCCGTGTCACAATTGGTTAGAAAAAGTTTAAAGGCTATTTATAATATATTAAACCAAAACAGTACTTTACAAAGAGATTCTAAACCACAAGTGGTCCTAGAAGTTACGGCAGTTCTAACGTGGCCGCTTATCACTCTGGTACGCCAAGCCCCATTATGTGTATTACTACAAATAAAGCCTGAAGCTGAGTTGTCCACACCAAAACAATTTAATCACGTCAATTCGGCTTATGCCAAAGAGTAAATATTACTAAATTAAATATCAAGAATGTCCATATAAAAAATACATAGAATGAAAAGAAAAACCGTTATTATACAAGCGATATTGGAAATATGGTTGTAGACACAAGTGTACACTGATATTTAAAAAAAATTTAGAGATCCAGCATCGATTCAAATCGACCATTAGACGACGGTTACCAATACTACTAAGGAACCAAACGAACACAGTATAATGCTTGAAAAATATATCTTTCAGTTACGAAATGAGTATTTAGGTATTAAAGCTTTTAAATTATTTTAAAAGACATAAAAAGAATTAAACATTTCCAACCTACCCTTTAATTCAACAGAAAATCAAGTGGAATTTCAATGGTGGACAAAGAGATTAACTGAACTGCAATGCGTCGACTAAATCCCATGTAAGACCTCAATGGATAGATGCATTTAGGGAATAATAAAGCAGTTCTATCACATTTTATTTGAACTTCTATGCTCAGAGGACGAAGCTTGTCTATAGTGTCAAAGTAAGTCGTGCTAGCTTCGCTTAAGTCATGAAAATTTTTAACGGTTATTTCTTGAACTTCTGTATAAGGAGGACTCGCATTTCTCTAACCGCATACAGACTTTATATACAATTAATGCACATAAATACTAATTCCTTGTTGAAGCAATAGTCGACTCTACATTGAATCTTGCTACCTTGTGGGAAACGCAAAATAAAAAAAGAAGTATCAGCAAAATGCGCTCATTTTATTTCTTCTTTTGTTTGCAGGTGCTATCTTGCAATTACTCTAGCAATATGATCAGTGTGCACCAATTACTGACAACTGTAATTAAAAAACTGCAGCTACAGCGAAGACGAAATGAAAAACCGTTTTCTTTCCTTGGCATCGAACGATTGTGCCGAACTTGTTCATTGAACGTTTTTCCAGCTTCGAGTTGCATAAATGCATGATAGCTCTTGATGCGTTCGATACGGACAATTTTTTTTTATCAAATCTATTGCTTAACACTACCGTTGTCTTATTCCACAACGGCTATGGCAAATGAGCGCCTTCGATCTTCACAAATATAGCCCCTGTCACCAGGCTCGACTAATGCTCTAGTTTCGTGACAAAATGGCGCTGTTAATTGTAAAGAAAAGAGTAATTTCTTATAAAAGTGCATTACAATTTCGTGAAAGGTTATCAATAATAGTAGTAAAGACAACATATTCACTGTAGATTGATGTTGTTATCGTTATTGTTCATTCTTCTTGTCTAGTTGATTCATTCTTATTTGTCTGACGTCATATAGTATTTACAACAAAATAGTGCGAACCTCATTTTAGGGGCAGGGGGGGGGGGGGGTTCAAACTTCCATTATGTCCGCATGCTAAGGCTTCGGCCTCTGAGTATTTGTCACGGTAGTGCTTGAAATTGACCACCGTTTTTTAGCTAATACCTGCAATACTACTCATTAAATTTACACCTTGTCATGTGCCTGATTCTACGTTGGTACTGGTTCCGATACTGCCTATATTCAAACAATAAATACAAGTGTCAAACTGACTGAGTAATGTTATTAAAGATATGTAAAACGTTAATCAACAACCGTAATGAACCGAAAATGTTTTTAATTTTTTCGTTAATAATATTAGTATTTCGTTAATAATGTTTTTTCGGTAATATTAATTAATGTCTGTACGAATTTCTGTAATGCCATCATCGCTGCAGGCTATTAATCACGCGTTCCTTTCGGCTTGTGTTAGTTAGATGGGCTCATAATTTTGACGGTCATTGATATTTTTTTAACGGCGCGTTTTAAAAATATGTGATGCGCAAATGTCACTGGAAGCTAGCGATGCTACTTACCGCAAGATACGCAAACTTACCAAACCCGGATTTCCCGCGTCTAGAAATCGAAATCGTGCTAGCATTACTTCGGTAGTCGAAACTTACTTAGTCATGCAATGAGGACTACTAGTCAAAGTGCTTTCTGAGACTATCTATTCTTAAACAACTTACCAATCGTGATAAAAATCACTGCTAAGGTTGTGGATTCCTCTAAGAAGAGCATACAAAGTATGCCTGCAAAATAGCGTATGCGAAGTGCACAGATGATAGCTTCAGCTAGCTGATAAGTAGAAAGTGACACATGCATTAATTAATGCAGGAAGAAGAGGCCCGTTTAAGCGCAAGTTAGAAGCAAAGTTTGTGTAAAATAAATAATATATTTAAAAAAAAAAACATGAAAAACAGGGATATACTACTTTTCTTTGCATTTATTCTTTCTACGGCCTTTACCTGACCGGCATTTTCATAATTAGAGTGAATATTTAAGATGTACGTACATAATAGACATTTTTTGTGTACAGGTCGGTTGGTCCTGCTAATCGGCATCTCTTCGACTCTCTATTCCAAGTCAAATGACGATTTTCGATTGTGCACGAGAGAAATTGAGTACACATTGGCATTATATCGTTGTAGACAGGCAGCAGTATTGCGTCCCGAAATCAATATCTTATTGTTGAATATGTTATTTGTGGAACAACCGTGATCGCTTAGATAGGCTTGATCTTAAAGTGGAGACCAATCAACGAAAATACTAAGCACTTCAGGTCCTGAACGAGATAGTAGAAGCATCGAAGACCCTCTACGTCGCTGGAAAGAAACAGACCGAGCAACATACGTATAATTCAGCTGTATCCGCTCAATCGGAATAAACTGATTTTACCGTTTCGCAACTAAGAAAATATCCGTGGCCTATTCTAGAAGGACTATTGTTAATAAGCGGCTATGAAAAACACGTGCTGTAAACTAAAAGTCACTTACGCCGCGTCTAGTGAAAAACTTAAATAGAAATGGTTTGTTAATTGTTTTAACTTTATATGCTAGTCCTATCCGTTCACTTATCATATACAACCACGTCAGCCAGGAACGGTGTGTTTTTCGATCGGAAACTTTGCATAGTACACCATATTAGTATGGGAATTATATATATATATATATGGAATATATATATAAAGCTTACTTGCTGTTAGTGACATCGGCCAAACTTCCGATTTTCGACGTAGTAAATGAGACGTGCTCGCGCCCTAGCACAATTTCCAACTCTTGCCGGCCAACACGGTCAGGAACAGGCCAATCATTGTCATCCTCCTAAAATGACGACAGTAACAGCAAAAAGGATCACAAAAACCAACAAAACCAAGATATAAATCACGAGCCAATAAAATAACAACAGCATTACAAGCAATTAAAGAAAGATTGGCCTGGTACGGACTACATTACATCTGCTAGAGATCCATGGACCAGTATTATACATATGTCTTCAACAAACCCAAGTAGAGCTGAAAAAATATGATAAATTTTTGGGATGCAAGAAAAGAAAATCGATTGATTTTTCCATAGCTAGATGTATTAAAGCATTACCTGCATGATTTCGGAATCATCAATGATTCTTCGAAGTTCTTGCATGATTGCAGAACTTACGTATACCTCTTTACGGATCATTGTATCATTCTTGTAATTAGAATTGTTGGCGTAACGGAGTTTGCCTGCAGAAGAAACAAGCAAATAAAAATGTACATATTAAATGTGCGCGCACTAAGCTTAAAAGCCTCTTGCTTAGTTTTTCTTCATTTAAAAAAACTTAGCTGAAGTAGTCTTCCAAAGTAATTTCAAAGTCAAGTTTTGGAAATATGTCTAAGCCATTACGTTTGCTTATTAGTTAACTGTATGGGGGGTAGAAATCTAAATAACAGGTTCAGTTAAAGGTATAAATATGCCCGGCTGGGCACTGCCATTTACTGTACAACATAGTAAATAGTTATAAATATATGAGATCTACTGCATTACAAGGATTTTTTACGCCGCGTAATTACTTTTAGCAACGCAATGAAAAAGCGAAATTAGCAGAACGTAAGAGCTTTGAATTGACATTTTAGGTAAATTGTCATTTTTACAGATCAAGAAGAATGTATAATAGCACAATAGGGTACACTGGAAAACCATATTCTAATCATTGATTCTAAGTGTTCGCAAAGCTTTGTAATGTACGATATGTCATGCTAATATGCGATTCCAAGAAAGGTTTTAATATTGTTGAATAGCAAGGGGTCAGAATAGCTGGTACTGTGAACTCTGAGAAAAACAATTATTTTTCCGTGTTTTCGAAAAAGATCCTAGGGCATTTTCCAGTTTGTTTTCGGCAAGTCTAATTAAACGCTGTCTTATTTGGATATTTTTTCTTACGTGGAGAAAACTAACCATCGGGACGGAACTCAAATTCCAGAAATTCGTGTCCAAATTTTCCTTTGTGGCCGACATAATATCGAACGTAGAAATCATTTTCACTTGACATGACTAATTTCTATCTTTTAAGCACACTGCTCCACAATTCGCACCACACGCCGTCTGAATAGTTGCTTGATTCTTGCGATTTATCCGATACGGCGCTTTCAAAACAAACAGATTGAAATGGCTCCGTCAATTTTGTGTATGGAAACAATAGGCGCAAAGTTCACCGCTTTTTCTAGGGTTAGCTACGGTACAACAATACTTTAGAGGGGCGCTCTAGCTGACCGGTGGCTTTATAGCATAAGCCTAATGTTTGTTTATAGCTCAAAAAAGCCTTTAATATACTTGCAAATGTTTCGAGTTTGTTTTCCCATCCGTGCATTAGCTAATGCGGAATGCAAACAACAAATTTCTCGTGAATAAGAATACTAGTTAAATGTCGTCTGCTAGGACATGACGACTTAAACAGGCGTCGAACGTTTTACATGTGTCGAAATACGCGCCGAGTGAACAATCCGTAAATAGCTTGGTTTACATGCGCGGCGGTGGAGAATGATTTTTGCTCAGTGAGGGTGCAGCTGGTAAAGTTATAATTTGGTGTTCTTTCGTTTCGTGATCGAGGTGCTTCGTAAAGGGGAATGGGTAATCAACAAGCCGCCCCTAAGGAAGTTCCTGGTCCGCTGGGCACAGTTATGGTCTTTACTAACTCAGAAAAGCAAGCTGCAATTGATGCGAAAGGTAGATGCCCTGTGGACCACTCCAAGGTTAGCCGAAGTCCCATAGAGCTCTTACTCATTACACCTTACTTCGTACGCAAAATCTGTCAGCACGCTTAATTCAGCAATACAATTTTTCGGATTAGTGATTCATCTTTTAATCAAATGAATAATATTTGTTGCGCGTAAACCTCCATAGGAAACCTGAAATGCGAGAAAGGACGCGAAAATGGAACCTTCGATTTCTGTGTTGCTTCTCATTTTATTTTATGAAACACATGCATATACTTGTGGTAGTACACAACTGGGTATCGTAGAAACAAATTTCGGCCTTAATGTATAAGGAATTCGTAAAAAAAAACGTTCAAAACACAAAGCATATTATTTGCCTCTCTGCAGATTCATTATTATGTTTATGGTGGATCGAACCGACATGCTTACCGTTCGTCTAGCTACCCTACAACTGTAATAGAGGTCCTAAGAGTTTCAATTCCTAACACCAGATTTAATAGCTAGATATTCAACCTGAATAAACTCGTTGGCCTCTATGCAGAAATGATTGAGGCAGATAGCAAAAAATTATACGTACTAATATATGTTGCAGTGACCCACATTATTTCGGATTTGAACAAATATTCAAAAAATGAAACATGTACAGAACCGTAGTCAGTGTTCCTCTAATGTAAAAAACAAATACGAGTCAAGGGTATTTTCACCAGTAGTTGCAACTGTTACTTTGAAGTAACAGAACCAAGTGTCTGTTAACCACGTGACCATCACATAGTTGCACCTTCATATGCATTGTAAAAGCTTCAGTGGTTTATTTGACAAAGCGAAGCAAGCATGACAAAATCAAAAAGCCAGTTACGACTTTTATCAAATTAAGTTAGAATCAAAAACAAAGTTGTTGCTCTAACTGTAAAACGCACATTACCGATTATTTATTTCAAAATAAAGTGCAATTTTCATTGCACTGCGGATTGTCTTACACCTTTCAGCTAGCAGCAGGTGCTAAAACAGGATCAAAACCGGCGGAGTGTATTCCAGGCAACTGCCCTGCGAAAAATGGAAAAAATGAAGAGAATAATAATCAAGCGGCTACCTACATTTCTGAATGTCCCATGAGACAAGGGGAAGCTGTAAGTTTCCAATCGTAGGACCGATTTTAGCTGACGTTACTTTATATCATTAGAGTGGTTGACAAACTCTGTTATTAATAAATATAATATAGTAAATATATAAATTTGTGTTATTAGAAACGTTCACTTCGTTGTTCGGTTGTGGTTTAAACGTTATTGTTCAGTTAAAATACTAAGTATATCTTTCGTAATTATAAAATATAGGCAGCCTGCCTAGCTTTTATGCTTAGCTAGTATACCACTAACACATCTTTTTCCTTACCTAAAATGAATTTGACTGACTAATCGTGTGACAGGGCGAACCAAAAGATTATATAAACCCCTTGAATATGATGCCACAACCAAACCAACGACCACAGCCCGATCAGCCATTTTCACTGCCGACAGATCGTGCCAAGAGCACAATCCCGAAAGCTGACGGAAAAGATGGAGAAACCTGGGAGTATCCCTCGCCGCAGATGTTTTGGAACGCTATGATTCGCAAGGGATGGCGCTGGCAAGAGGCTAGCCTAGAACCGAAAGATATGATGGATATAATCAGGATTCACAATGCCAACAACGAACAGGCTTGGCGAGAAGTACTGAAGTGGGAGGCTCTACATTACAGCGAGTGCCGCTGTCCAAAGTTGCGCAAGTTTGGAGGAAAAGCTACAGACTATTCACCTCGAGCAAGTATGCGATACTGGCTTGGCTACGACCTGCCGTTCGACCGGCATGATTGGATCGTGGATAGGTGCGGGAAGGACGTCAGGTAATCTAGGAGAAAGAGTTTTATCTAGCTTAATTGGCTAAAGATCATATGAACAACTGTACTTGCTGGAGTTCAAGCATGCATTTTAAGAAAACCGGTAAGAAAGAATTGAAAATACTGTTGTGTTCTAGTATCTCATCCTTATTAGTTGAAAGTTTTCGCATCGCCAACGAATTAATACATTTGTATTACTCGTCATATATTTTACGGCTTTGTCCTTTCACAGGTACGTTATTGACTATTACGATGGTGGACCAGTTAATCCGCAGAACAGCGAATTCACACTTCTTGACGTTCGGCCAGCGATGGATTCATTTGAAAATATATGGGACCGTATGAGAGTTGCTTACTGGCGTTGGAAGCTTGAGTGGTTCAACATCGCCCCTAAACCACATAAGCTAGCAGAACCTCCTCAGGTATCAGATGCCGCCACCAGTTCATCGTAGGCAGATATCGTGACTCGCGTTAGATAAAAAGGAAAATAGACGCATAACGGTCTCGCCCGCAATGGTTCAGCAATATGGAGTTGAATACTGACCTTAACAGTGGCTACGAGCTGTGGGACAAGATTAGACAATGTATAGCAATTCGATTGTTTGTTTGAGAAAATGGAATTTAGCTGTAGTTTTTACATTGTATCTTATATAAGTGAACTCAAATAAGGAATATAAACCAAGAAGAGCAGATTACAAAGCTGTAATGTTTTGTGTTTTTCAAGTAATTGCTACGTTTTGATTTGTATATGTGTCTCATCTTACCGTCTTTAGTCCACGTTACATAATCATTGGAAACTAAGTGTCGGCAACTCAACTTATTTAACTTCGCTTAGAAAAGTAGTCTTTGCTATGATTTAAAGCAGATCCCTATCCTGATCTATTCTATATATATATATATATGTATATATATATATATATATATATACACACTGCTTTCTTTCTCGTGATAGATTCAATTACGTAAGTTGAAGCAGTCTTTATTACACATTTTGAATTCTCACCGCACGTCAAAGCATTCTAAATTCGTTTCATATATAGATTTTACACGATTTTCTGCCGTGTGCTTCAGCCTTGTTAGGTCTATATAATAAACGTATTTGCCTGCTAATTATTCAGGGGTTCAAACCTTGACATACACTTCATTTCGTGCTGGAAGCTGTGTCATGGAACGCCTAACGGCGAAATCAGGCGTAGAAATCGGAACATAGAAGTCTAATAATTAAAATTCACTGACTTCCCCTGGTTGGTAAGAACCTATCCGATAAGATCTGTTTTCAATCGATCTAAGCGACAGATTTGGTACGATCCTTTTAGCATACGTAAGTATTATGAATTCGTATGCTTTGTCTTGCTTTTAATATTTATCTGTGTACGCACTCAGTATTAGAACTTTTCAGTCTGCTATTAGAATTTTTCGAGACTCTCAAGAACGGCTTTTTGCACTTTACTCCTAACGGTTGTATCAACAGAGTCAAGTATATGGGTGGAGTGGTCTTCGAGACGGATAAGCACACCCTCCTTGGCCAAATGGATTGTCGTCGCATTACCCGAGACTTCAGTCTTAACGTCGGTAAAGCCAGCTTTCGTTAAACGATTTGTCAACAACTTCACATTTAATTCGCCATACGGATAACTGATCGTCGTCGAGAGATTCGGCGGTTTCTTTAAGATGCATTGATTGTTGTTAACACTCAACGTTGCTGTCACTGAGCTTACGGCGACGCCCTTTCGAGACTCCAATTCGACTGGGATTATATCGTCAGCTAGAGCGGGGTCCAACTCCACCTTCTGGATTTTGCGTTTTATTGGAATCTGAAAGAAATATATTGAGTCGTTTATTAGATATTAGGCAATTAATTGTTAGGCCGCTTTTGCGACGTTTGTATCATCAAGCCCCTATTGATGACCTTATAAACAAGAATATTGTATTAATAATTATTCGCTATTAGTTAATACTCTTTGCTCCCTCTGCCATAGAGTTCGTCTGAAACGGCCTTAATTGAGAAGAAAATATCAAAGGCTTCGTTATTAATTACTAAGCTATATTAAACACTTAAGAACAGAATGTCAAAGTTTTCGTGGACAGATATGGATATGGGCCTTATCTCATACACTTCATGGGTATTCATATTTAAATTTCAACTTCATTACTAGAAAATCTTAAGACAAGTTTGTACTTAATATAGAATAGAACACACCTGAACTACTTCTGGTCTTCGACACGTTAAGTATCTTGCCTCAGGCTCAAGAGCTAGGGCGCATACACCGGGGGTGGCTGGACACATAGCTGGTGGTTCACTGTACTGTTTATGTGACAATAAAATATTGGGTCTAAGGTCCCGTAAAAGCTTGTTGGCTTGTGCAAAGCTGAGAGATGTATCAATTGGGTAGTACAATACCTTAATTGATACAGGCTGAAATGGGGCGACAGCATCCACATAGTTATAATCTGGCTCAGTAAATATGACGGCGTTGTTAGGATCGTTTTGCCATAGCTCCATCAAATGCACAGAGTCGCCAAATCGTAATGATGGATGCCCTGCGAATACAATACACGGTATGTGGAAGTCATTCATGAACGCTTCGTCTGCTATACTTTCATACACCTTAAGCCGCCCGCATTTCATTAAATGCGAATGTGGAAACGGCTCCTCGGGAACATAGACTCGTTGTTGTTTTGACGAGGTCAACCATTCCGCCAGAATACTCGAGTATGCTAAACTTTTGTTGGCTACAGGCGATACAAAGTACATCGTATTGAACAAATTCCGACTTTCTAAATGGCCAGAAAGACACTCAAAGAGATCGTACACAACCCCTGCTGAATAGCAAGGAATCAGAACATTACCGCCTCGATTCAAGGTCTGCTCGACGGCCTGACACATTTCGCTGAGCATGGTATCGGGTATGGCCAGGGGTGTTTGGGTAAGCGAGGTCATGATCAGCATGTCCATCCCACGAAGGGGCTGATGCTCTATCGGCTTTGGATGCGTGGTCAACGTTGATGACGATGCCATGTAACCGATCTTTTCCTGATCCGACTGTATAATCCAGTTACAACTTCCAACGCAAAACCCGGCGGACACGCATGAAACATGGACGTTACCAAACACCGAAAGCTTCTGATTGAATCCAACTGTCTTCACTTTCATTAAGCAGCTGGCAACGTTTTTTGTTGTATAAATTTCCTGCCATGATGGCACTTTTTCAGCGTCTGTATTAAACGCGGCTAGATGCTTAAAGAACGACATCTCCTTGTAAATTTTATTAGCTAATTTTGGTTTTGGACATCGCTCAATATATTCGATAAGTTCGTCCATATATAAACGGCCTATCAGCGATGTAGGTTCGGTCATGTAAACTTCTCCCCTAAAAGCAGAGTTCTCAGTAATAAAGGGAAGAGCGAGCATATTGGTGTAGTTGGATATGAGAATGACATCGATGTCACCAATATTCAATAGACCTAACTCAGGAAGCAGAAATTCTGCAAAAAAAGTTTGTTGTGTTAGTGTTTTGATTCAATGCAATGACATCCGTGTAGATAATTCGCTGATATTTACATAGTGTAACAATTTGTTTTTTTTTTATACACAAATTTTACTTCGAATAGCAACATACAATGGTAATGTCAATGTCATCAACCTACTCAAAAGAAATCCTCATAGCTCTCTAATTTACCAAAAGCACAGATCTTTTATACATTTTTAATGGGATTTATAATGGGAGATTTATATTCCTAATAACGATATCATTAATGCAACCTACGTTTTGTATAGGATAACATTTCTATATTCGTAATTTTTTTTTTAGTAAACGCCGCTTGCTCTTTACTTCTTTATTATTATAAAATATTTTTACCTGGTTCGGCGTTTATAAATGCCCTGCCATTATTTTCCCGAAAATCAATATGATCTTCTAGCACCCCATCTCTTGCGGTCCATGCAGCCAACTGGCTCAAACGAGGTGAATGCACCATCGTTAATGGAACAAAACTCATCACCGAACTCAGATCCAATGCACAATCCAGCATTACTAAAGAGTTTTTGTGTTTTAACACGTAACAAGGCTTATTAGGATTATCGGAAAGACAATAGAGCTTCATGATTATAATATGCACGTAAACACGATGGCAATAATGTGTAAGCGATAACTCTGGATCTTTTTAAGGGCAAGCGATATGCTTAGTTGAAGTCCGGTTTAGACGCAACAAATCGCTTACAATTGCCTAAACGTCTATGTCTCCTGTCGGGCCCCGGTTACATAAGTATCGGAACTTCTTAGATTCATGAAAGGCCACTTTACTGATTTATCCAATCGTATCTCACAGGCCACATCTTTTTAACCTCCAAAAGGAAGAATCACATACAAAAAAAATTAAAGACTCGCCTTCGTCTTTTTACTGGAAGATATTTGCGGTGTAAATTTTTGTAAGCGGTCTTAAATTCGAACGAACAGGGACTAATGCTTGTTTACTTCGCTGGTAATAACCAACCCTTATGGAGTAGCCGCCGTCGTATCCTACTATCAATTAGTCCTAAAAAACGCTGCATCGATTTGACAGACGCACCGCTGTGGGTGTCTATGAACTGTGATATTTCAAGTGTAAGTTATTGTAACATTACGTACATAATACTAACATTACAACGACGATTTGCTCATGTGTGTTGGATGTCGACTCCAAGCAGATGTTATTCTCGTATTTTCGGTATTGGCCGACCTACGTTTCGTTTTATGTTACCGATCACCAGCTGATTTGAGCGTGATGGTTTTTGATTGAGTCTAGTTCTATCGTGCGTTTGTACTGTTCCACGTGCATTGCGCTGTTGTGAGGTTCAAGTTTTGTGATGAAAAAAACGTAAAAACATTTGTAGATGGAATTACCATGCTAGGATCACATATGTGTATTTGTTTTTTCATACTTCACATATAACGGCATCTGCCATGTGGATCGGATTCACATCAGAAGAACCTTCTGAAATAATAATTTCTATTAAACAGCAACCTTGTACTAAGGAAACTTAAGCTCAAACGGCGCATCGGTAAGAGATACGCTACAGATTTCGGACTTTTTGGATGAAAAGAGGCCTCTAACTTAGAAAATAACTTACAATCGAACCGCGTGCATCGACCAGTTTGCAGCTGTAGAAAGTCACGTGCAACGTTAGGACAAAGATGACTTCACGAGATAAAGATGTGGAAAGTGACTTACCTGGCTTCTATTACGATAGACAAAAACGGAAGTACTTTCGTATCACTCCTGGACGTGCATCTAATCCACTACCGCCTGAAAAAATTCAACGAATTAAAGGCCATGAGCAGGCTGAACAAATCAAAGAGGAGATACGAAAACGTAATACGATGTCTTTTTCGAGTAAGTATGGGTCCATAAACATAGCGTAATGGTTTAAATTTAAATCTGGGGGTAACCCGCATTTCGTTTCATGCTGGAAGCCAGCTATCTGAAGTAATGCTTAACGGCTGAAGTCCGGGATGTCAAACGCGACAAATATGTTTTATATGTATAGCGAACATGTATAAAATGCGACTAGACGGGTTGCTGTTTGATAATGGTAGATAAACTCTTATGAAAACCTAAGTCTAGTCCGGAAGTCCAATATATAACGACAAAATCATGGGTGTTTTTATCTTTAGCAGGCATTGACGTGAAAATATTTAAAGAAGCAAAACTGCGTAGTCAAACCGCATGGCTAGCGCTTTCATTTCTCACTGTCGTTTACTTCTAACACTTTCAACACAAGCACTGTCGAATTTCCAGGGGCGATCGGAATTGTTTCATATAATCGTTCGTTGTAAGGCAATATTAAGTGGAAATGATCAGATAAGAATTTCTACCATAACGACAGAGTCGAACGAATTTCAGACTCAGTAGCTAAAATAATGCCTGCTATATGATGGAGGACTTTCGATTAGAAACTTAATTATGAAAATATAGGAATATATTTTGTTTTGAATTGTTTCCCTTGAATATGTTATAATTTCGCCATTGAATCGAGTCTATAGAATTTTGTTGAGAAGAAAATTAACAAAATCGGCCTCTTGTCTTTTCTCGTTTCGCTCCTGCGTACAATCACTATGTTTGCAATATTTAAATGGAATCTGTTTGCGATAATCTAGCACACAGCCTAACCCTCACCTCTGCAAACACGCTCGTCAGATGACGAGTAGAAAAAACCATCAAATGCAGTTAACTCCCCTCATTTTCACGACCTTCCGAGTATGTAATAACGCTGTCAAGATCAAATCCTAACGTTGTTTTTCTAGTCGAGTATCTCTTACGCGGCAGCTGCTATTTCTGTCGCTCTATGATCTCACAGATTATTCATTGGCTGATGTATTTTTTTTTATATCTTATCTTTTCCTGTATACACCCGTTGATGACGCATTGATCGCAACATCTTATCCTTCCATGTAAATGTACTTGACCCTGTAATAACTGCTGTATTCATTTAGTGAATCTGGTTTGAACCCTGAATGCCTACTATACCACCACCAACAAGCTTCGGGCCTACCTTGGCCATTGAAACGTCTGACCTTTTTATAACATATTAAATTGTAACAAAAGCAACGTCACCGAACAAGTCACCCGTACGGCGGTAACGTAAATGTACATAACTTAAGTTTTAATTTGTCTTCATTTTCGTCCTGTTTTCACTACAATACAGCTATTTTATTAGTCTTCGCGGACTAAGTCATGGCCTAGAAGTAAACTGGCGATATATTCTTGACAGTGCGCGCTCCCTTCCTGTCGAATAGCAGCGGTCAAGTGGCAAAGAGCCGAAACGCGCGGAGTCGTTGGGAGAGGGGTATTCGTCAGGGGATATTACGGCATGTCACCACTGTGCGAGCTCACACTGTGCTACTTTTTGTTCAGTGTGCCCCGTCGTTGGACAACATTGTTTAGTGCGTTCGCAAATACTTCTTCGTTGCAATCATTAAAAGGTACTATTAGACTGCAAGTTTAGTGCTCAAGGATCAAGCGTTGATACTACTGGAGTTACAAGTCTCGAGTTGGGTGGAACTATAAATTTACAATATTCAGCCAATGGTGAAGAAAACGGTTTAGTCTTTAAAACTAATCATATTTTGCTTATACACTTACAGAAAATTTATCCTAGTTTATTAAGAGAAAACATAGATGCCTTACGTCAAGATGACTCACAAGAAATTGATAAAATGAAGGGGAGTAACAAGGTTTTTAAGGACTGGCTTTATTTTAATTACACAAATATTGTAATGGAAAAAGTCAATAAAAAAGGGAGGTTTTATTACCGCGCCGTGTCACGTGTCTTCGCAGCTCTAGAAGGCATTAGGTATCAAATTGCCGTCGAACTTCATTATTTACCGGGTATGATAAATTTGTACGTTGTGTGTCAGCCGTTGGACAGGTCGGCGTCGTGATGTTTATGGTGAAGTGATATACAGTAGTTCAACAAGGTATTCTCTTGTCTACATGCATAATAAGTAACTGCACATCTATAATTTTCAAGAAGCATTCACAGACTTTGAAGTTCGACGATTTAGTTTACTATTTTTTGAGCAAGTGTATTATTTTCATCTAAATGAAAGATATATACATCTAAAGCAAATTTAGATTTTGGATTATAATATATTAAAATAGGACTACAGGGCGAATTCGCCAATGGGTTCTGTTAATATGTAGTATGGTGCCTTTATACGTTTCACGGTCATATCTAAAGTTGCATATGTATCTTACGCCATCTTTTCCTTCCTCTTCATTTCCTTCGGAGTTATCTCTAAGTTCTTTTGCAATTATCAATGAAAACTATTTAACATACTAGGCACGTCCCAATTCGCGCTTTGTTCCAAAAAAGCTTGCCTAGGCTATTTTTATAGGCAAGATATTGTTGTACTTTTTGGCCGTTATACATCTAGCCCCACATCTACTGATACGTCTTATATATTTTTCTCTACGTAACCCGGTCATATATACATATACGTATATATCAAAGTTAAAAAAAGTTATTGCCTTTATTATTAGATGCAAATTTTCAGTGAGGTAAACTTTGATGGCAATGTTATGGCCCTTAATATATAAGTTTATAGAAATATTTTTAAACCGGTAAACTGAGATAAGTTTAACGTTAAAACCGGATGCCAGCGCGCCACAGACAACATTTTGCATAAGCATTTATGTTAAACGGTATATTCTATTTGAAAACCAACCGGTAGTAGAGTATTCATTTTGTCTTTTTCAGATAATTATGTTACAATACAGTGTGGCGCTAACTTTGAAATATTGTCAAACATTTGAACCTTAAATATCTTCTACTTTATAGACCTTACTTCGAACGTTTATTCTGAAGGCATTTGCGTTTAGGAGTACAGTCTTAATATATTTAGATCTCACTTCATAGCAAGCCGTTCTTTATGTAAACGGTCTGCTTGTGATTTGCTGATTGAAATTTGAATTTAACTAAGCCTCTGAGCTAAGTATTTCGAAGCACTTGTTACCTAGAGTTGTTGAGAGCTTTGTTATCAGTATCCTTTTGCTTTTACAGAATCGTTTGAGCTGCGTCAGGTGACAGGTCCATCGCGCCGAAGAGCTAAGTCGTTCCGGAGTAACGCTATTAAATCAGCCATGAGTCAAATGAAACGAAGTCTTACCTGTAAAGTGAATGCCGATTTCAATGATGTGGATCTTCAAAATCCGCTTCTTAGCATTATGTCTGAGGACATCGTGTGTACAGCGTATACGACAAAGGGCGGCTCTGGCAGTGTTGTGCTCAGTTCGAAGATCTCAAATGAGAATGGCGGTCGCTTCATTTCGCATGGACTAAGCAATTTGTTTCCGATGAACAAGATCGTCGATCTAAAGCCAATGAAGATTCAGAACGCATTTTTCGCAGCTGTTGCCTGTCAAACATTTACCCGTTCATTACAGTTTGTTAGTATACGACCCATGTTTATGGACAGTCACCATTTAGACGATCTCTCGAAGACGTATGAATTCGCTCCTACAGAAACCTTATTTTCGCTTGCCGTAACTCCGATTCTCGTGGCAGTAGGCGCGGAACGAAAAATTGCCACGTTTCAGCTCACGGATAGCCATGCATCTGAAATCAAATTTCCTATAGAAAACGTCTTCGTGCTGGAGAATGACGGTGAGATCCTGTTCGCTGGAACTAATAAGGGGAATATTCACCAAATCGACCCACGGACAGCAGTGAAGATTGACGCATCTTCTGCTATCAAGGTCGGCAGTCCTCTATCGAATTTGAAAGTCTCTCCTAGCCATGTGCTTGCTAGCGGTTACGATCACAAGCTTGTTCTATACGACCGACGTAACAGTGCAACTCCACTGGTAACTTTTGAGGAGCATAAAAACAGCTGCAGACCTCACCTCAGTCTCGAGCTAAATGATCGACTAGGAATCATTGCGGCGGTGGGTAGCGACAGCGTGATACGGATGTGGAGCCTTGATGATTACAAGCTATCGGCCTACATATCTGAGGAAGACTTTGTTGGCAAGGACTCGGCACCGTGCTTCGTTGTAGCTGAGAATATGAGTGCGCCATTTTCTCTGTTGGTGTCCAGTGGTGATACACTTTCTTTGTATAAATGATCCTGGAGATGATAAGGCAGGCATTTTCCTTGTCCGATATTGTGTACCTAAAATTTACAGTTCTCGCTAAATACAAAATATGCCTGCATAGTCTAGGAAACAAGACGATCATTGACTGCCTTGGGGCAGGATTGTGGTGAAATGGCGTTAAAATTACCTATATTATCTATACCAGCGAATTTCGTATTGTCTATTTGGTTTATGTATTTACAAAATTCGAATAGCGTTTCAAAAGGGAATTGCCTGTTGCTAGGATGTTAAAGTTTCAATTAAAAGCAATGAAAGCAGAGAAAACGAGGTAGATATTTTTAAACGTCTTTATGTAAATAAGGTATAGACCTTGGAAGTTGCCCCGAGCAAGTTGTACCCATATGTAAATATGGGGCACATTGACCTGAAGTGCCTAAACTATTGTAACAAATATTATGCAAAAAAATTGTAAGCCTATTTAAAGCAACAGTGAAAGTACTAAGACAAAGTAAGTTTTTTTCTAATAGAGAACTGTCTGTTTGTACCAGAAGAACGTTGCATGGATATGTAATTATCAACAAGAATAGACATATACATAATATATTTATAGGAAATGGATGATCAACAGAAGGGTTTTGTTTGGACAGGAGTTCGTCCTGAGAGCTGAACGGCAAAAATAAATTTCCTCTACTAACAGGAAGCTATAATTAGTAGGGGAAAATGGATTCAATAAATCTGACGCCGACCACGATAAAGATGCTCGTTTCGGCTGATTACTATCAAATTGAATGAAATTTTGTGTAGTATTTGATACATTTGTATGTTTATCTATATGCTTGCAAGGTCTTCCAACCATCTGTCTGTCGCCTAAAATGTTTCTTAAAAGTTAGCCGTACATGTCACAGAAAACTAATTGTATAACGCTAACTCAACTAAACGATTTTTCTCTGTTGACCTTCTATCGTTTTTTTTTGTCATCGATATAAGCATTTGCAAAGCGGGAAAAAATCCATATGAACTAAACGCCGTGATAAGTTTCACTTATCTTTAGGCACCGACAGATATTGGCGTCACCTTTCTGCATTTTAGAGCCGTTTAAGAAATGATAATCCTTTACGAAGTAAATTCAATTTCGTTTCATTATGTAAAATCTTTATTAGTCTTCATAGTATAATATAAGGCTTCGAACATGTGCCTACCAAGAATTTGAGGGTAACCTATACACACGCCCTTCACCTGCATATGCACATTCATGAAACATTTAGAAGCGACGTTCACTTAGTTTGACAACATGATTGTATGTACTAATTGAATATTAACGAGATAATAGTAATAATAATAATAATAACCACAAAAATCGGACCACAATATTTGATAATGATAGTAGTAATTGATCAAGATTATTTTAAGATTGTTGATTAGGAGTAAATACCTTGATTGGTGTGAAGTTCACTCTTCCCTCTGATCGTAAGATGATTGTCAAGCTGTATACGTAATGGCCATCAAACGGCCTATGTATTTGGTCGTTTTGCGGCATTGCTATCAATAAAATATAATCTATGTTGTTATCGTATTTTTGCTCAACAAAAGTGACGTTCTCTGTTAGTTATGCTCTCATCTTTTCACAATGAACCACTTGAAGGACGGACCTACATCCAACGCGAGCGCTACTGTGAGTAGTAATTCACTTAGCAACTGTACAATAAAGAGGCGTGTTATTTCTATTTAAAGGAATTAGTATGAAATGAATATTGAACAACGAACGTTTAAACAAGTGATACCATCGAGCATAGTTAACAGGTGGTAATGTCCTTTTAATACAAAATTCAGCTTTTAGGCTATCTTGCTCTCCACATAATTAGTATAGTTTCGTTATGTGCTTATAATCTCGTAGTATCTTGGAAAATATACGTCGGCCGCTGCAGTAATGTTGGGAATATCGAGGAGATAGCGGTTCGTTTTTACATCGGGTTTATTTGCTCTAGATTCACACCACCTCATTTCTAAGGCATATTGGTTTTGTTTACATTCTCACGCCTATTTTACCTATAACTATTGCAGTCGTTGTTCTGTACAGAAGCACGTTACTCACTGTAACTTAAAGAATATTGTTTCTAACTTACAATATTATATCACATCAAGTTTTCTTTAAGGATTCTTGATCATTTATAGCTTATGTAAAACTCCTTTTTGCAACAGAGGTTACGTCGAGGAAACGAGCGCCAATGTTTCTAAGGGCTTGCGCATACATGCGCGAATTGTATCGCCATAACGCTCCCCCTACGATACGGATTCATCATCTAATTATTGCGTCGCTTATATATCGGTTCACTGTTAGGGATACTTAAATAAGCTGATCAAATTATATATTTATGATAGCAGTAAGTAGTTCATTTCCATATTTTCAAACACACAATATTAAGGGACGTTGACTTTCTCTATAAATAGCCAAAATCGAATACACAAAAGCGGCTTAGCCTTATGAATCGACTTTTCAATCCATCATAGGAGATTTTCGCTACTGTTCAATCAACCACCAACCATCTATGCGTCGCTTATTCCATTGGGTACTCCCGTTAAGAGACGGGTCTATACAGCATTAACTTTGGTCTGCCTCCTCCGTTTGCGTCTTCAGCTCTAGCCATGTGCGTCTTCCTTCATTAGATACAAACTTTATAAGGTACTGCTGTCGATCCCTATGCAAACCATTCCCTGGTTTCGGCAGTAAAAGTTCTGGTTAGTCAAAATCTCGATGGAGATAAAATCGTCTATTCCGTACATGCCTTGCGAGTTTGGTCCTTTGAAATAATTGCCTGCCTCAGGATCAGTTGTTCCAATATCGTCTTCAACAAAAGGCGTTCCGTCGTTGTCGTATATCTATGGAAAGAATTTAAAACAAGATTACATGTTACATGTATGATTGTTACAATAAGATAAACTTTCATACGACTTGCAATTCCCCAAAACAGCAGCACAGACGAAAGCAATTGTTTTTGATAAGAATTGCAGAAATGCAATCGTCCGTTACGGCTGTTTTTAAAGCTCTTTGTACTAAAGGTAAACACTATCTGTTCTGAAACAACAGGAACACACCACAATACATTGATACAGCCCTGCTGCTTAAGCGCTCTAAAAACAAGAATAACAGCCTGTGCCCAGTTTAACCTAATTCAGATCGCCCGTATCTAGAAAAGGAAAACATTTTGGTAAGAATATGGATTTCTATCAAATCTTAATAGTACGTTGTCAAACTAGTTTTGTCAAACCTACCTTCATAGTTAGACGACGCTTCATAGGCCAGTCGGCTGAGCTGCGTTCGTTTGAGGTGCCAATGTAAACTCCGAGCATCTTCCGTCCAGCAATAAAGTCTACTGCCAGGTGAACTCGACAAGGATAACCCCCAAGAAGTGCTTTCTGATCATCGGACGTTGCCGGACTACCGTTACGGTTCATCTGCTGTAGAAGTTTTTTAACGTTGAACCAAAGGAGAACGCTTTGAGCGCTGTGGCGTACTACCCATCTAACAATGTCCTCACGTGAGTTAGCCACAAAAGGTAGTCGACTTATCTGCTGCTCTATGTTACGAATAGCCAGTGAATTTCGTTGTGTGTCGAGAACAATCATGTCCACTAATGTAGTGGGGTCTGTATTTATCTGTTGATTTTCTGGTCGCAGCCTAGTTAGTTGCGCTTCTAATATTTCTATCTTTCTCATGCAATCTCTGATCTGATCTTCCACCGACGCCCTCCTTATCTCGAGTCGGTTTACGATATCTTCTTCGACTCGTTGTAGTTCAATGAGGAGGGTTTCCTTGACACTGGAAGCGATGCGGTCGGCGTCCATCATACGGCTGCTGCTTGCTTCGCCAGAGCTAGTCGAATCGGCGACACCTGTCATACTTTCAGTGGTCGGCGACGAATACATTTTCTCGGTGACACGACATTCTTTTCGGTGCTGGCGCAATTCTTTCAGGGTACCTTCCATGCCACAGGGACAACAAAAGTTGAGCTTCTCGAGGGCGGTTATGCTAATCTTCATCGGAGTCGCTTCGCTGGTCTCGTTACATACGGAGCAACAGGCAATGTTGCGTTCTTCCGTGTCCTGAGCATGCTTCTCCGGAAAAACAAGGGCACACGAATCACACTGGACGTGTGCGCAACCTAACAACACATAATACGACACTGAGACGAAGCCACAAGGACCACACACCGGAAGCAATAGGCCGGCTACGGCGGTTCTGCTGGTTAGTTCAAAGTCGACCGACCCACAATTTAATTCGAGGGGTAGACCGCGGAAACGCATCTGTGGTAAACAGAATGAAACAAGGAAAGGTTACGAGGCATACATTATAGTGTTATATATGTCACAGGTGTGTATAGTACAGTTCGCGTATAGAAATTGTGCGCCACTTTTTATATTGAGTATGCTAAATACGACATACTACATTAGGAACATTAACAGTTCAGAGACGAATAATAGTCATCTAAGAAAAATCAAGAGGGTATTCCTCACAATCAGGTATTTGTATGAAGTTTTGAAACATCCTGCATGCACTGATTATGACCGCATAGAAATTACATTAGAATGGACCTCAATTCTGGGCTACATGAAAGAAGTAGATACAGGAATTAACGACTTAATAGTCAGCAACGACCACTCCTATCGTTATTGAGCATCGGTTACCAGAGTCAGCAAAACTCTCGGCCACTACTCTATTCCATATCAACTTATGCAATTTATCTTTTGCTGCGTGCAAACTAACGACATACTAGAGTTACTGTATGATAAACCAAACATTACTTACCTTCTTAGCTGGCGATAAAAAAAGTATTCCAAAATTAAGCAACCGAATCCAACGCGTTGTTTCCAAGACTGCTTTGGACTATCATACGCAGAGCATTCGACAGGTATTTGACGGACTCACGTGTGACTACTACCAGCCACCATACTATTAAACGAGAAAGAAGTTAGCAACTGACAGAGTGAAGCAACTTCATCTTCATTAATTAGTCGCGTACCATTGTCGAGGGGTAATCACTGTGGTTCGACAGTTTAGTTTATTCTTTATTGAACAAATCTATTATTTTCATCTAAATGAAAGATATATATGTATAAAGCGAATTTAGATGTTTTAATTATATTAAAACAGGCCAACAGCGTAAATTAGCCGACAGCATCTATTAACATTTTCCACGGTCATATCTAGAGTTGCGTATGTATCTTATACCACCTCTTCCAGTATTATTCTTTTGCAATTATCTAAATATTTATTGTGCCAGGCACATAACAATTCATGCTTTGTTTCAAAAAAGTTCAAGATCTTGCCTAGGGTATTTTTACAGGCAAGATGTTGTTGCACTTCTTGACCGTTACACATTTAGTACTAAATCTACTTACACGTCTTATATACTTATCCCTACTTAACATAGTGATATATATATATATATCCCTCCCTCAAAAAATTATTGCCTTTAAAGTTGGACGTAAATTTTCGATGAAGTAAACTTTGGTGGCGATGTTAAGCCTCCGAGCTTTGTTTCGAAGCACTTGTTACTTAGAGTTGTTGAGAGCTTTGTTATCAGTATCCTTTTGCGTTTACAGAATCGTTTGAGCTGCGTCAGGTGACAGGTCCATCGCGCCGAAGAGCTAAGTCGTTCCGGAGTAACGCTATTAAATCAGCCGTGAGTGAAATGAAACGAAGTCTTATCTGTAAAGTAAATGCCGATTTCAATGATGTGGATCTTCAAAATCCGCTTCTTCGCATTATGTCTGAGGACATCGTGTGTACAGCGTATACGACAAAGGGCGGCTTTGGCAGTGTTGTGCTCAGTTCGAAGATCACAAATGAGAATGGCGGTCGCTTCATTTCGCACGAACTAAGCAATTTGTTTCCGATGAACAAGGTCGTCAATCTAAAGCCAATGAAGATTCAGACCGCATTTTTCGCAGCTGTTGCCTGTCAAACATTTACCCGTTCATTACAGTTTGTTAGTCTACGACCCATGTTTATGGACAGCCATTGTTTAAACGATCTCTCGAAGACGTATGAATTCGCTCCTACAGAAACCTTATTTTCGCTTGCCGTCAACTCCGATTCCCGTGATAACGGGCGCCGAACGAAAAACTGCCACATTGCAGCTTACGGACAGCCACGCATCTGAAATCAAATTTTTTATAGAAAACGCCTTCCTGCTGGAGAATGACGCTAAGATCCTGTTCGCTGGAACTCATAAGGGGAATATTCACCTAATCGACCCACGGACAGCGGTGAAGATTGACGCATCTTCTGCTATCAAGGTCGGCAGTTCTCTATCGAATTGAAGGTGTCTCCTAGCCACGTGCTTGCTAGCGGTTACGATCACAAGCTTGTTCTATACGACCGACCTAACAGTGTAACTTGTGAAACGCATGGAAGCAGTTGCAGACCTCACCTCAGTCTCGAGCAAAGTGGTCGACTAGGAATCATTGCGGCGGTGGGTAGCGACAGCGTCATACCGATGTGGAGCCATGATGATTACAAGATATCGGCCTACATATCTGAGGAAGACCTTGTTGGCAAGGGCTCGGCACCGTGCTTAGTTGTAGCTGAGAATATGAGCACGCCATTTTCTCTGTTGGTGTCCAGTGGTGATACACTTTCTTTGTATAAGTGATTCCGGAGGTGATAAGGCAGGCATTTTCCTTGTCCGATATTGTGTACCTAGAATTTACAGTTCTCGCTAAATACAAAATATACCTGCATAGTCTAGGAAACAAGACGATCATTGACTGCCTTGGGGCAGGATTGTGGTGAAATGGCGTTAAAATTACCTATATTATCTATACCAGCGAATTTCGTATTGTCTATTTGGTTTACGTATTTACAAAATGAATTTACCTATGGGATTCGAATAGCGTTTCAAGAGGTAATTGCCTGTTCCTAGGATGTTAAAGTTTCAATCAAAAGCAATGAAGAGCAGAGAAAACGAGGTAGATATTTTTAAACGTCTTTATGTAAATAAGGTATAGACCTTGAAAGTTGCCCCGAGCAAGTTGTACCCATATGTAAATATGGGGCACATTGACCTGAAGTGCCTAAACTATTGTAACACATATTATGCAAAAAAAATTGTAAGCCTATTTAAAACAACAGTGAAAGTACTAAGACAAACTAAGTTTTTTTCTAATAGAGAACTGTCTGTTTGTACCAGAAGAACGTTGCATGCATATGTAATTATCAACAAAAATAGACATATACATAATATATTTATAGGAAATGGATGATCAACAGAAGGGTTTTGTTTGGACAGGAGTTCGTTCTAAGGGCAGAACGGCAAAAATAAATTTCCTCTACTAATAGGAAGCTATATTTAGTAGGGGAAAATGGATCCAATAAATCTGACGCCGACTACGATAAAGATGATCGTTTCGGCTGATTACTGTCAAATTGAATGAAATTTCGTGTAGTATTCGGTACATTTATATGCCTATCTATATGCTTGCAAGGTCTTCCAACCATCTGTCTGTCGCCTAAAATGTTTTTTAAAAGTTTGCCATACATGTCACAGAAAACTAATTGTATAAAGCTAACTTAACTAAACGCTTTTTCTCTGTTGGCCTACTATCGTTTTTTGGTCATCGATATAAGCATTTGCAAAGCGAGCAATTCATATGAACTAAACGCCGGAAACTTATCTTTAGGCACCGACAGATATTGGCGTCACCTTTTTGCGTTTTAGAGCCGTTTAAGAAATGATAATCCTTTACGAACTAAATCCGTTTCATACGAATAAATTTCGTTTCATTATGTAAAATCTTTATTAGTCTTCATAGTTTCATAGTACTATACAAGGCTTCGAACATTCGTGAGTACAAAAGTATTTGCGTACCAAGAATTTGAAGGTAACCTATACATACGCCCTTCACCTGCATATGCACATTTATGAAACATTTAGAAGCGACGTGCACTTAGTTTGATAACATGATTGTATATGCTAATTGAATATTAACGAGATAATAGTAATAATAATAATAATAATCATAAAAATCGGGCCACAATATTTGATAATGATAGTAGTAATTGATCAAGATCATTTTAAGATTGTTGATTAGGAGTAAATACCTTTACCGGTGTGAAGTTCAGTCTTCCCTCTGATCGTAAGATGATTGTCAAACTGTATACATAATGGCCATCAAACGGCCTACGTATTTGGTCGTTTTGCGGCATCGCTATCAATAAAATATAGTCTATGTTGTTATCGTATTTTTGCTCAACAAAAGTGACGTCCTCTGTTAGTTATGTTCTCATATTTTCACAATGAACCACTTGGAGGACGAATTTACATCCAACGCGAGCGCTATTGTGAATAGTAATTCATTCACTTAGCAACTGTACAATAAAAAGGCGTGCCATTTCTATTTAAAGGATTTAGTATGAAATGAATATTGAACAATGAATGTTTAAACAAGTGATACCATCGAGCATAGTTAACAAGTGGTAATGTCCCTTTAATACAAACTTATTCAGCTTTTAGGCTATCTTGCTCTCCACATAATTAACATAGTTTTGTTATGTGCCTATAATCTCATAGTATCTTAGAAAATATATACGTCGGCCGCTGCAGTAATGTTGGGAATATCGAGGAGATAGCAGTTCCTTTTTACATCGAGTTTATTTGCTCTAGATTTACACCACCTCATTCCTAAGGCATATGGGTTCTGTTTACGTTTTCACGCCTATTTTACCTATAACTATTCCAGTCGTTGTTCTGTACAGAAGCACGTTACTCACTGTAACTTAAAGAATATTGTTTTTAACTTACAATATTATATCGCATTAAGTTTTCTTTAAGGATTCTTGATCATTTATAGCTTATGTAAAATTCCTTTTTGCAACAGAGGTTACGTCAAGGAAACGAGCGCCAATGTTTCTAAGGGCTTGCGCATACATGCGCGAATTGTATCGCCATAGCGCTCTCCCAACGATACGGATTCATCATCTAATTATTGCGTCGTTTAAATATCGGTTCACTGTTAGGCATACTTAAATAAGCTGATCAAATCATATATTCATGATAGCAGTAAGTAGTTCATTTCCATATTCTCAATAACACAATATTAATGGACGTTGACTTTCTCTACAAATAGCCAAAATCGAATGCACAAAAGTGGCTTAGCCTTATGGATCGACTTTTTGATCCATCATAGAAGATTTTCGCTACTGTTCAATCAACCACCAACCATCTATGCATCGCTTATTCCATTGGGTACTCCCGTTAAGAGACGGGTCTATATAACATCAACTTTGGTCTGCTTCCTCCGCTTGCGTTTTTAGCTATAGCCATGTGCGTCTTCCTTCGTTAGATACAAACTTCATAAGCTACTGCTTTCGATCCCTATGCAAACCATTCCCTGGTTTCGGCGGTAAAAATTCTGGTTAGTCAGAATCTCGATGGAGATAAAATCGTTTATTCCGTACATGCCTTGCGAGTTTGGTCCTTTGAAATAATTGCCTGCCTCGGGATCGGTTGTTCCAATATCGTCTTCAATAAAAGGCGTTCCGTCGTTATCGTATATCTATGGAAAGAATTTAAAACAAGGTTACATGTTACATGTATGATTGTTACAATAAGATACTTTCATACGACTTGCGATTTCCCAAAACAGCAACACACACGAAAGCAATTGTTTTTGATAAGCATTGCAGAAACGCAATCGTCCGTTACGGCTGTTTTTAAAGCTCTTTGTACTAAAGGTAAACACTATTTGTTCTGAAACGACAGGAACGCACCACAATACATTGATACAGCCCTGCTGCTTACGCGCTCTAAAAACAGGAATAACAGCCTGTGTTCAGTTTGGCCTAATTCAGATCGCCCGTATCTAGAAAAGGAAAGTATTTTGGTAAGAATATGGATTTCTATCAAATCTTAATAGTACGTTGTCAAACTAGTTTTGTCAAACCTACCTTCATAGTTAGACGACGCTTCATAGGCCAGTCGGCCGAGCTGCGTTCGTTTGAGGTGCCAATGTAAACTCCAAGCATCTTACGTCCCTCGACAAAACCCACTGCCAGGTGAACTCGACAAGGATAACCCCCAAGAAGTGCTTCTTGATCATCGGACGTTGCCGGACTACCGTTACGGTTCATCTGCTGTAGAAGTTTTTTAACGTTGAACCAAAGGAGAACGCTTTGAGCGCTGTGGCGCACTACCCATCTAATAATGTCCTCACGTGAGTTAGCCACAAAAGGTAGTCGAGTCATCTGCTGCTCTATGTTACGAATAGCCAGTGAATTTCGTTGTGTGTCGAGAACAATCATGTCCACTAATGTAGTGGGATTTGTATTTCTTTGTTGATTTTCTGCTCGCAGCCTAGTTAGTTCCGCTTCTAATATTCCTATCTTTCTGATGCAATCTCTGACCTGATCTTCCACCGACGCCCTCCTCATCTCGAGCCGGTTTACGATGTCTTCTTCGACTCGCTGTAGTTCAATGAGGAGGGTTTCCTTGACATTGGCAGCAATGCTGTCGGCGTCCATCATACGGCTGCTGCTTGCTTCGCCAGAGCTAGTCGAATCGGCGATACCTGTCAAACTTTCAGTGGTCGGCGATGAATACATTTTCTCGGTGACACGACATTCTTTTCGGTGCTGGCGCAACTCTTTCAGGGTGCCTTCCATGCCACAGGGACAATAAAAGTTGAGCTTCTCGAGGGCGGTTATACTAATCTTCATCGGAGTCGCTTCGCTGGTCTCGTTACATACGGAGCAACAGGCAATGTTGCGTTCTTCCGTGTCCTGAGCATGCTTCTCCGGAAAAACAAGGGCACACGAATCACACTGGACGTGTCCGCAACCTAACAACACATAATACGACACCGAGACGAAGCCGCAAGGACCACACAGCGGAAGCAATGGCCCGGCTACGGCGGTTCTACTTGTTAGTTCAAGGTCGACCGGCCCACAATTTAACTCGAGGGGTAGACCGCGGAAACGCATCTGTGGTAAACCGAATGAAACAAGGAAAGGTTACGAGGCATACATTATAGTGTCATATAGGTCACAGCTGTGTATGGTCTGTTCGAGCATAGAAATCGTACACCGCTTTTTTATATTGAGTGCGGTAATTATTACATACTACTTTAGCAATATTTCTAGTCCAGAGACGAATAAAAGTCAGCCAAGAAAAATCAGGAGGGTATTCCTCACAATCAGATATTTTTACGAAGTTTTGAAACATCGTACACTAATTATGGCTGCATAGAAATTATATTATAATGGAGACCGATCTCAATTCTGGCGTGTATCAAAGCAGTAAATTCAGAAATTAACGATTTAGTAGTCAGCAACGACTACTCCTATCGTTTCTGAGCATAGATTACCACAACCAGTAAGAAAATCCTCGGATTCTTACTCTATGCAGTACCAACTTACGCAACCCATTTCCTACTGGCGTGACAGTAGTGAGCTAACTAACTAATGATACACTAGCGTTATGCACGATCAACTAAATTGTACTTACTATCTTATAAAAAAGGTCTTCTTATATAATATAAAGTATTTCAAAATTAAACCGGACCCAACGCATCATTTCCAAGGTTGCCTTACATTATTCTACTTGTGTATGTATCTGATGGATTCACGTGTGACTATTACTAGTCACCACATTATCAAATGAGAAACAAGTTACCGATTGGGAGAGTCAAGCAGCTTCGTCTTCAGTAACTAGTCCACTAAGCTTTAATGTAAACAATACCAAATTGTGATGAATGAAACTTTCTTGAAATTTGATGAATGAAATTTATATAATATTGGTGTTTTACATATTGTACAAAATTATAAGAAGATAATTCAATCGACGCACCGAAGGTTACGCTTAGCGAATTTCAAGTTCACAATCGAATACTAATCAATGCTTCAGGGCACTGTTACCTACTACTGCTATATTAAATGGACACAAAGTTGACACAAACAGTCGCAAACTTATCATCAGCACCGGTTAGCACTGTTGCCGTTTTATTATAATGGTTGTGTACTAATGTCTTACATTCCAGCGGTACGCGTAAAAAAGCACTCGATATTAAAATATGGGCTGGGTCAACCGCGGATGACATATCATTTTTATACCTAAGCATCGGTGATGACTGCCTTTACAACCTGCATTATAATACCAAAACAAGATATGGCTGAAGGCAGAGTAAAGATAAATTGTCGGCACAATAACTTCATGACTAACTTAGGCGACGTATAGTGGTAAATAAGAGTTTTTTTTTTGTGATAAAATCAACCATTCTGCCATATTAAAAAATACATAACAAGCGCAGGCTCCTTAGCAGTTCATTGGTTCAATTGGTGATGTATGGGTCTTGCTTATTAATTGCGTAGGTTGTTTCTCTTACCTTGGCCAATGGGTAGGAAGACTAGGATCCGAGGTCTGCCTTTCTAAGGGAAAACTTGGGGTAACCGTAATCGCAACGACCACTGTCAGTGCGTCGACAAAACGTGGTCCTTAACGGATAAAACGTTCTGCAAGCTTACGAGACTGCCCAGAACAATCTAACCTTTGCGCGATTGTGTCTGATGCTCAGCTATCAGCTCTTTCAGTATTAAAGTCTCGCCCAAAAGCAACAACAGGTTTCGAATTTACGCGCCGCTGCAGACAACTTTTGCGCGGTCATTTTGACTAGCACCAGCAGGTTTCTGTGTCTAATACTGCATCTATAAGGAGAGAAAAGCTTATGCTATCGGTAGTAATGAATACCTGTGGTCAACGAAGAAAGAAGTAATTGTAGCTTTGTTGAAAAAAGCTACAATTAATGGTATGTTTTTAGTAACCTTTTTGTCAATGTGTCGTTTCAACTTTGAAGGGTTCTTAGACATATAGCAATCATTCGGCCACATTCCTTAAAACCTATTTCTTCTCCTGGACTCAAAAATTCGTTTTCCATACACGACTTTAATTTAGATTTACGTATGCTCCGAGGAATACGCTATACGAATTTAACTCTAGGTCATACAATGCTTTACTTGTAAAGATTGCAGGGCTCAAAGCGAAACCATTCCATCCTACTGATAAGTATCTACGTGGAACAACTAATTCTATTCTGCATAGCACCTTCAGAGGACGAAAATTCGTATATCATATCACACGTAAACTAAGTAATATTTCTCTAATTGCTATCTATGAGGCCAAGGTTCACAGGTCACTATCATTATCCTATAGAATTCAAGCAAGAAAGAATAGAGCTCAACTGGGATTGATTCGAAGTCAACTTGCGCTGTTAAAGATGTAAGGCCTAGAGGAACGTGATGATTAACGATACTTATTAATTTAGATCTTCATCCATAATGCCTTAACTAAAACCATGATATTCATGTTACCTATGTTCTGCAAGTAATAAAATAATAGACACCGTTTTATATCCGACATTCTCTTACCTCATAAGTTGGTCAAGAAACACTTTACGTCAAGCTAAATAATAAATCCACCTAGATGATATTTACTTATTGTTACGTATATTACGTTATCGCAACGTGCGCAATATGAAAATAAATTTTAGTTGGACTACCTAGATGCTAAAACAGTCAAGAAGACAGAAAACAGTCAGAAACACGGTTATTTATGTTCCTTAGGGGCGCCGACATCAAGTTTTTAAACCTCTGAAGATCATCCTAACAGACGAATTGACAATAATTAAATGATTTTGCTATTGGGATGTTAAAGAATGAAAAACACGCTGACCAAATTGACCACGTTGGGTGAGACGAGGTGCTCTTTTCAAACAAGCGAGGTACATGGAGTTTTGACGAAGTACATTAAAACATTTCACAAAAAAAAAACAATTTTTTTTTTTTCAATAAAGTAGCTGTATTTTATTCTATTTTTACGATTGCAAAAACGATAGATGTAGCATTAATTTAGCTAATATGCACATACAACTTGTATATTGTGCAGTTAACCCAGTAAAAATATTCTGCGTCTATATACGAGCATAGAGTTATGCAACCGTACGACATGCTTGATAGGTATGTTTAATGGATGGTCGACGCATGAGCCCTACACACTCCAGCTCTAAGGATTCAACCATAGATGTGCGACGTTTCCAGGTTACTCTCACGATGACTACTAAGCAATCGAGATGTACCCGAACTAAGCCCTAAACACACAATCTTTGCAACGAATAACGTACACTGCAGCTGTGTAGCTTTCCATATAGTTAAGCGTAGGTCGAAACTCAATCGATGAACAGAATTATCGTTTCTTGCAATACATGCACCGGATTCCGATTTTTTTTACTTGTTCTTGACTGTTTATTTTATTTCAGCTTTCTTTACATAGTACCAATTCTGTTTCATCTTCTGGAGCCATTTCGGTTTAACGGAACAATATTTTTTATAAATTATGTTCGAAGAGATCAAATGCCATTAATACTACAAGCATAATTATTGATTGTTCACCTCAAATGCTTAGCCTTTTCTGTGCTCGCTATGGATAATTACTGTTCACAGTACAAAGTTGGTAGAAGATTGTCGAGTGACAGATCCAGTGAGCCCTACAACTTCTTATTTGTCCAACTTCGCACAGAGTTACGATTAGAAAGTGGAAACATTTTCCTCCATCCTAAAGTTCTCTCTTGTAAGTATAAACACAAAAAAGGAAACATTCACATAGGCAACATGTAAATGCATCAGCTATCTGCTTTTAATACTACGAAGTAGTATCCGCTAGCCAAGATCAGAGATCCAACACAGATGTTTACGTGAACCGACACTAACTCACAACTCTAAAATCTTTCGTTTTTTAAGAGCAGCTGATATTCCAAACGATTAAGACCCTTGACCCAACAGTACTTATCTGTTGTGCCTCCGATCAATTCCAGTTCTCACCAAGTTAGACTGGAGCAGAGGTATACTTTGACGATGACTGGGACCAAGCGCTGCGAATATCTGAGATCATTGAACTCAACAAGTACTCTGGAAATATCCTAAAGCCAGTAGTCTTAATAACAGCTTACTGCGCGCCTTCTCTCAACTCATCTACCATTCATTCTTCGATTCGGTTAATTAATGCTACTACTCGGAGGTGATACCCTCGACGGAACTAAAGCGAAATGATATTGCTACGTGTTCGTAACATTACCATATCATAAGCTAGAGTATCGGAAATATGGCATATATTGAACAGATATTTTACATTACACTCTACCTATCAAAATTGCTTGGCAAGTAAGCACACAACTCGGTCGAAATGTCATTGTTATTGCTATGCCGAACATTCACGAAACGCGCCTGTTCAACCCTGTGACAGATAGATGAAATGAACCATTTCTATCTTACAAGGGTTTCAATAACAACTTGGCGCACGTTACTTTGCTTGCTTATTTGATCTCGTTGCTGACGGGCTGGGTTAGTTCCGATCTTTTTCGAGTGGTACGAAATCGTAACGACTTTTTTGCCCGCGGATTGCGGATGCGCTCCTTTGTTTTCTTTATGATCATTTGAGGACGCCAATCCTGCATTGGACTTCTGTTTGCGGGACCGTTGACTAGACGCTAGGTTCGAAGGCAATTCGAGCAGTGATGCCGATACTGACGCAGTTGTTTCGTTTACGAAAGCGTTTCGTAACTCCGGATACCTTGCAAGAAAACCTTTAAGCCATTTTTTGCCAGCACGACCTCCAGAATTTCTCCATGCCTGGAGGTGCCCCGTGGACGCTCGATTAAAGCGTACCGCAAACCTAAACGCGAGGCATTACGTATTTTTATATATGTATATATATGCCAAAAAAATGAAGCTAGTTTAACGGTTGTATAGACTTAGCTCAATCAACTTACTGGCGCTGGTCATTGGGTTCACTCAAACGTAACTTCCATGCGATCTTGATATTAATGCACTGTATACTACTCAAGAGACGTACGAAGTATTCTAATTAGTTTCTGGTGTACACAAAATAAATATGTACATTTATGTATTTAGTTGCAGAGAATTATAGCGTTCTTTAATGTGCTCCACTCGTTTGCCTCTCATGCAATATCAATTCCAGATACACTTCTAAATAAAGCGTTTATATAAAATCGTCTCGTTTTAGCATATTTAGCAGCGAAATTGATGATTTACGCACTACAAGTCTGGTATATATATAACAATCGAAACCAATGGCATATCAAATGAGTCACTTGTATACTTTTTGTCAGCATTATAGGAAAGGTTAAACTATCTATTCGACTCTGTTCGAGTTACCACAAATAGGCCATTTCGTACCGATAGACTAGAACGCAGAAAGCTGATTGAGACAATTGCGTACCGCCTTCAGCTTTCGCATGGGCTATCTTGCATAATTCCTGTTCCTGCAGAGACGAAAAGGGGCTGTTGTCCACACGTTGATTAAGGTGCCATGCACTTAGCAGATAACGTAGAGAAGGTCGAAACCTCTCCGCTGAGGCAGCCAAAGACCTTGTCCTGGGCCGATTTCTACTGTCGCCGATCGGCACTAGGGGCATTCTACAACAAACAGCAAAGAACGGGCATGCGTGGAACAGAAAAATATTCTGGTCTATCTATATAGCTCAGGCAAATACCAATCTATATAACACCATGTATTGCTTACAGGTTGAAAAAACCAGTAAGAATAGGTGAGCACAATTTGGGCTAGAATAAACCAAAAGAGTCTCGTTGTGTTCGGTAGGATTACAACACGCGTTTCTTTTCTATAGGAACTTGACAGTTAATAACTGTGTGCCAGAAACTGGGTTTGTAATTAAGTGCCGTATTTAGATGGACTAAGTGCGACGGGATTATTAAATGGTATTTTTCGCTAATCAAATCGAACTTTGCCGAGCAGTTGGTCACTTGATGTACTTAGGCAATTCTCAAAAGGTAGCCGAACGTTTTAACTAACGAGTATTTTAGGCTGATTTCGTAAATCTAAAAGAAACAAAAACTTCGTATGGCCATCTACGTAATTCATTTCAAGCCTAAGTTCTCTACAATAAGCTGAAGCAAGCAATAAAAAAATTATTAAAAGCAAAACTGAATAACAATTAACGTAAGCGTGTTTATCTAAATCTGCTGTAAACAATTACAACAGTAATGATTAGTTTGCATATATTCGCCGACGTATGACACGCTTAATATATAATTTAACTTGCAGTTGTATTAACGGTGAACGTTACCATATATAAAGCTAAGTATAAAAGAATCTGTCAACATTGGTACTAGGCGAGTATTGTTCACACTTTGCAAGAAGCAATACATAGCAAAAAAAGACAAGAACTAATAACATGCCAGTGGTAGATTTGTCTAGTTCAATTCAGTTTGTGGGCCGCATTCTTTTCATACTTACCTTGACGTTTGATTCGGGTTCGATTTTTAACTTGTCACTGAATATAGTCACCTGGGTCATCTCCAAATGATCTCAGTTGTCAGAGTTGACGCAGAAACAAATGAATGCCATCATTACGCTGTCTGCTGCACGAAATCGATATTGGCCGTTCATACTCAGAGACCAAGCTATACAAGAATCAGTTCCTCTTTCTCATAACCGCAGTGCGTGCTCCTTTATCGGTTTCATCAGCACGGCGCTACAGCTGCACTGCTACTTTTAGTGGTAACAGCATCAACAGCCTTTGTGTCGGCGCGCCATTTGAATTTGTCTCCTCATCGAGGAAACGGGAATTGTGGGCGTGGCCTACGCGACAGCTTACGGTAACTAATCTCTCTCTCCCTCTGTCTCTCTCTTTCTCGCTCTCGCTCACGTACACTCAGTCTGATACTCCTGAGCTAAGCTGCTAACGACGCCGACATTGTATCATGTTTTCCGTTAAATCGTATTCTTCCGTTAAATCGTAAAATTAAGTTGCCTATTAAAATGACCGCACATTATGACACTGCCAGGCGGAATACATTAGCTGACCCCCATTTGCCAGTTGCACTCGAAAACTGTGTCTGGTCTGAATCATGCGAATGCTATAATAGACGACTTACCCCAAGCTACCAAAAAAAATTCAGTGAAATAATTTATAATAAGCGATGCTATTTTATTACGAATAGGCATTATGCTGTCGTAACTTCGAAAATTCACTTATTACGAAACGCAGTTACTTTGAGCAGTTATTATTGATTTCTCAAGCTAATCGGTTTGTGTTATTTCCTTTAAACAATAGCAGGCCCGGATAAAAGCTTCAAAAGATATTTGTTACGCTTTTTGTGAATAATGATTTTTTAAAGAGAATTTCCTTCGTCGTAATTAACAGCACATCATATTTTTTGGAAAACATGTTGTGACACGAAGTTACCACAGGACAGATTGATAGTGTTCATTTAAATATGGCATTAAACAAAGGTTATCTAAATTAACTCTTTAAAATTAAGTTAAACTCAAAATATTAGGTGCAGCAACGCTCAAAGCACTTGCTATCAACTGTAAAGAGTCTTTCATGATATATCGTTTGAAAGAAGATTGGTCGTAGCCGCGCTCATGCCTATGCCTCTTGACAGCCTATCCAGTGGTAAGCCTCGCAAATTAGATTTGAGAATAGAATGAATCTGTCGTATTTCAGCTGAAATGATACCTTTGTTTAAAGTTTTCCTTATTTGAGTGATCAAACATCCCGGTCACAGCTTTTTTCGGTTATTTTATTAGTCTATTTACATGTGGTTTATTAATACTCCTGTTGTACGGGATTTTACAAAATGGACACAATGACAGTCAAGATGCAGAGCTGACAAACATCATATGGAACCTTGAAAAATCCATAATACACCATCTGGTCTGTGAAGGTCGGTCTGACCGAAAATCATATGAAAATAATTTGGTCAGTAAAAAATCTTACATAATTCATTAAAAAAACAAAAAATAAATAAATTAAATTTGCGAATCAGAATGCTTTGATTTAAATCTACATGATCTACCGTGTTTAACCAAATGCGCAAGAGTTGATGTAATTATAATGTGCAGGTAGTCACCGTGCAGTCGTTTTTGCTCTTTAAAGTCAAATAAATCATAATACCGTATAATTTAATTTCGTATTTTGAGAGAGTTTTTATTAGAATAATAGAGATTTTATTGAGTCACTTTTTGACCGAATAAAAGTTATTGTACTTGAAGTTTTCATTGAAAAGCTACGTTATTCAGTACAACCGGTAGTACTACTTTTAGCTAGGACAAATCATCCGGTCACTTGAACTTGATCTCGATTGTCAGGGATTGTAACAGCTGCGTGCAGATCTGCTTCTTTCATTAACGAACAATCCCTACTTGCATATCTTATTAGATGTCTGTCTGCCACCGATTCTCGCGAACATGCTTTGCCTATCGATGAATTTCAGGTACTTTCGTGCCTTACAATTAGCTAAGCTATTTGAAATAAATATAGCTGCTTTACGACAAGGTAGAATCGACACAATATCTATCGTTTGTAATGGAATAGACTGCAGCCATAATTTTAAACTTTTGAAATAAAATATTCATAGTCTTTCACATCGTTTCTTCTCTGGTTTCTTAAGAGGTTACTATACTCAATAGTCAACTACTTTATGGACGCGTTGTTCTGGCTTGCTATAAAACTTCATCGGTTGAGTCCCTCAGAAAGTATATCCCACCAGTCTTCTATTGGTCTAATGGGATTTCATCACTAAATGAAATAGTAATGACAAACGTCCTCATCCACTGGCGCTTCTAAATGGTGGTCGTTTAAAGAGGACGCGCGTGTATGGCCCCGACAACGCAGTCTAATAACAGATGTCTCGGTTGGGTTTCGTCTGCTCAACGCTTGTTGTTGTTTTGCATTCATCGGCGGGTAACAAAGAAGTTCGGTGGCGGGTTGATTGGCGGTATTGTTTGGGTTTGCTGGGTTAATTTGTACCCACTGAAATTTTCTTTTATTGGTTGTGTAGTTTGTGTTCATCATTAAAAGTTTCGTTCGAATAACTTCTTGAAGTCGCTGCCGCCACAATGGGCGACACGACTAAGGCATCAATAGAAAAAGCCACTTGGAATTATGTCAAACAGAAACTTGAAAAGGATTACGTTGTTAAACAAACGCTTGGATCGGGTAAGTTCATTTTCAAATAGTGACACTATCAAATAGTAATGTTTACATAATGTTAAATAAACTGAAAAAGGTGCTAGTAAAGTGATAATCTATGTCAGCAAAGTAACTGAGGTTTCTACAGTCCTTTTGCTGGCCAAGTTATAGATACATAGGGAAAAACAAAAGGACCGTTGTAGCCTATACCTTACATTACCGTACTCTGTATATTAAACAATTTGACGCTGCCGGCTTGAGATAACTCGAATAGTTAAGATGTGTACTTTAACTCGAATAGTTAAGGTGTGTACTTTTATGAAATAAAGACTAAGTGACTGTTCTCCTATAAAAATAGTTGCGTTGGTAGAGTATAATAACCTTCTAAATAAGTACGTTATAAACTGTCTAACCAGTCAACGCAGGCTTCCATCGGAATCTTGGTCTAAATGTCAGCTGTTCTGGTAAGTTTGACAACTGAGTGAACTAAAAATGTAGTAAAGAAGTAGCTTGAGTTATAACCAGCTTGTTTTAAAGTAATACTTTTTTGAAGCTATTTTTCTATTTATTTAAATGTGAAGTAAAGGCCCATCTAATGCGGCAGTCGATTAGCCTCACTGCACCTAAGTATCCTTCCAATGTTACCTTCTTTTTAGCTAGGTAAAGCTCTAACTAGTTCTGCTACACTACAAAAATAGCATACCCTAAGGATGCAGAATTAAGAGATCCCCTTGTAAGCCAAAATGGGGGTGATGAAAGTGAAGCCTTACTATTGCAAAGAATTTACAAAACTCTTTGGGAACCACCATTACATGTAAATATTTTTAGATTCTGAGATGTAACGCGGATGTTCAGAAGACTCGATTCGAATTCCCCGGTGAAATACTTGCAAACGCGGAGTTTTAAGTTAATTAACTTTAATATTAATGTCTAAATCTTAGCTTGATATCAAGTCACTCTGGAACCTCTTTACCAAGCCTTTGGAAATAATTGGCTTCAACATCTAGGACCGCTTGGTCTTGTAACTTGTGTCGCATCAATTACGTTTTTGTAGTAAAGCTTAAATATAAAGCCTATTAGTCTATTCTCATAAATGGCACAACTAGGCAGGCGTGATGCTTAGTGAGGTGAATCTGCTGATGATGAGAAAAAGTAACAACTGTGAAGCTGTGAATCGGCACGACATCTAACCCCGAAATCGCAACGCAGTATTTTTAGTGAAGAAATCACTGGAATCTATCAGTCGCATACAACAGATTGATCTCTTGCTTTTTCAGGGGGCTTTGGGAAAGTAAAACGAGGTTCGCACGTGATTACCAAGCACAATGTCGCCATAAAAATCATGGACAAAGAAAAACTCGGAGTCGATCTGCCCAGAGTTCAGCTCGAAATCAATGCACTGAAAAATCTTCATCATCCTAATATCTGTAAACTCTATCAGGCAAGCGGTCTTTAACAATATTGTTAATTATAAACATTAGTCAATCATACGTGAGGTTCCATATATATTCATACGGCAATAAAATACCTGGTCTGAATATTTGACGACAACGCAGGGGCCTCATTGCCATACTTCAATGTATCCTTGGATTAAGTAAAAGAATATACAACGTTGCCTTACGTTTTTTACTCGTTACTTTTGGACAGCCAGAAGCCCAGAAGCTGCTAGAGTACTGGAATAAGAGTTTGAAAAACAAAGCAGAATGCCTCTATCATATAAAAAAAAAAACTAATCTTTTTTACTCGATTAATTTAATAAAATTTCAAAGTACGTTGAATTCGGCATTTTGCCCAGATACCCTTGCCTACCCTTACTTTGCTTTAATCAACTTTTGGAGTTTCGCTGATATTTTGTCAGATTATCAAAGGAGGTCAAATGGATTTAGAAGGACCGAACTAGAAATTGGAAAGGCATGGGTTTCGGCTTTTTAAAAATGTTGGAGTAATTAAGTTTTCTATGACTAATTCAAATAATTTTCAATGACTAATACACTTGATAACAATGGAAGCTACCTATGTCTACTGCGAGTTCTAATCCTATGTCCTTTGTCTTAGGTGGTCGAAACCTTCGGCCACATCTGTCTGGTGCTGGAGTACTGTGAAGGTGGCGAACTGTTTGATTATATCGTTGATAGAGGTCGGGTGCCGGAAACTGATGCGAGGCGTTTATTTCGGGAAATGGTCTGTGCGGTGGCATACATTCACTCAAAAGGTTTTGCTCATCGAGACCTTAAGCCTGAAAACATGCTCCTCGACGGCATGAATCGAATCAAGTTAATAGACTTCGGGCTTTGCGCAAGTTGGAAACCGTCAGGAGTAGCTCAGAGCTTGAAAACTTGCTGCGGTTCACCATGCTATGCCGCTCCCGAATTGCTAGCTGGCCATGCGTACACTGGAACAGCAGCCGATGTCTGGTCTCTGGGGGTTATATTGTTCGCTGTTCTCTGCGGATTCCTGCCATTTGAAGGTGATAGTGTCCGTGTCATCACTTCGAAAATCAACAAAGGTCTCTCAGAGTTACCAGAGCACCTATCATCTGGTAGTAAGAACCTCATCCATAAAATGCTCACCGCTGAGCCAAACAGACGGTTTACAATGAACGACGTTGCATCACATATGTAAGTTAAAACTGGCCGGTTTGATGGCATTGAATGCGTGTTGTTCTATAAGTTAATATGAGCTGTTGGCATCTTTTGACGCATTTATTAGAAGACCTTAATCAGCATATATGTATATATCCGAATTAAGAAAAGATACGCTTTCGTTTGTTATGTCACTGGGTTTTAAATAACCGACTTATGACTGTGTTATCCTTAAAGGTTTTTAACGTTTGGATATTTAAACGGCTCCAATTTAACAAGTATTTAGTTGTCGAGTTTGGTATACAACAAGATATTTAAAGATCAGTTTGTTAACGATACCATAGTAAGCAAAACTCTGTACGTCTTTTAGGTGGGTCACAGATGGCGGCCGGCTTCTTCCAGCTACAACATATGACATGTACCTTACTGACCCGAAAATCGACTCGGACATAAATAATGCTGACCCTGTGATCATTAACGAGATGTCAAAGTATCTAAAACGGCCGCCTGTTGAGTTGAGTGATACGATCGAAAAATGGAATTATGACTCGTTAACAGGAATTTACCTTACCATGCATGACAGGTTAGTACAAGTAAGGTGTGTTTGGCTGGCTGCTGCAGTAACACATCCAGTTTTTGTCACTTCCAACCCAAGGTGATTACCATTAAAGTTAATTAAGACTTCACTATAGAAAGTAAGATTTCCAAACATTTCTATAATGTAATTCTTGAATTATCCTCAATTGTCTAAAATCAAAACGTTGTTCGAATGAACGAATCCATTTTGTTCTTTAATGTTGTAGAAAAAAGAAGGGACTGACGTATAAACTGTCTAAGGAAGAGGAACGACAATCTCGACCGATTGTTAGGAAAGCGTTATTTGATAAGGAGTCTATAGAGACGGTGGTGCCACCCAAGAAGCCCAGAAGGTCTAAGTCACTAGAGGATGGTTTGGACGATGCAGACCTTATGGTCATTGGAAGTCCCTCACAGGTTAAGTATCTGCTTAAAGGCGTAGTTCAACTTATAAATCTTCATGCATATAGTAAAAGAATCGAAGTGGATTTGGGAGTATTGGCAACGAGAACCAACAACAGAAATCAGAAAATCATTTTGGTTTGCTGATTCTCGTTTCACCTAATGTACACAAGGGGAACAATCCTTGGATCGTTATTTGCCTGTATTAAATTTCAAAAATTCGGTTTAAGAGACATTTGCTGATTTTTTTTTTGTGAATAAATTATGAATTTATATCGTTAAACTATGCGTGTATACTGGTTACAACACGTATAACTGGCATACTAAAACGATTTGATCGCGATGGTCTTGACATGTAGTATAAAGGCCTTCGGATAATAAAAAATCTCGCTTATCCAGTAAGCAGAGACAGGTTCATGTTAGGGCTGTACGTGCAAAATGTGCCTGTACTTCTCTCGCGAAATATTTACCGAAATAAAATTATGTATGTTATTTTCGTGCCAAAATTACATTCGCTCACTTGTCTATTATTTATATTGTTTGCATGTAGCAGGTTCGACAAGAAGCTGTTCATGAACGCTCTCCATTCAGACTACCTGAGCCAACAACCCCGCAGCGTGCCGTGGAGGGGTCTGAAGGTGGTTTTGTATATCAGACACCCCAACGTACGCCTCTGAGAACCCCTGGCTGTAGTAAAGGCAACAATGATTCGGGATCTGGAACGCCGTGGTCGTCGAAGCGACGCTTGCGTGAGGCCATTGGCAAATCGATTGGAAAAGTTCGACGCGCTTTCCTTACCCCTGTAAAGACGTTAAACGCAGAGCCCAGGTATCCACTTGAATTACAGAATGTAATCAGTTTATTGAAGGAAAAGTAATATTTTCACCTTTTCGCGGTTTTATTTGATTCTGCACAAGGCGGCGGTAAAAATTTGCTGTTTCTAGTAAGCATAATTATTTGGCGTACATTCTCCTATGTTCAATTGAAATGCCCGTTATTCATTGTGATTTCAGATATGTCAAGCACACGCAAAATGTGGCCAAGGTTCCCTACGAAGTTAACTATCAGGAGCTTTTACAGAAACTGGAGTCTAAATTGCAGGAGCTCAATTATAAGACAGAAATTAAGGGCTTTGTAATCAGAGGGTATGTAGCCAAGATTTAGAAATTTCAAGATGTACCGATTGCTTTGTTAAACTCGCGTTTCAAACATTCTGACATGGCAGTAATAAAGGGTCTGAAGTTAGTGCGTGTACATTGTTCTTTCGCGAGTATTACTACTAATTTATACTGTTTGCTTTACTGAATCAATTAAGTTTGGCTAAATAGTGCGGAGGCAGGTCCTAACTTTCAATAGCGATTCTCTCCGCATCTTTGCAGTTCGAAGGATGGCGAAAGGGAAAATGTTCGACCAGGAGAAAAGAAAGCTGCGAAGTCAACACTTGAGCTGGAGGTCGCTCGCTCATTAGAATGGAATTGCCTTGTCATAAAACGAAAACGACTTAACGGCAGCTCAATTGACTATGCTAAAGTCTGCGAGAAGGTGCTTGAGATTTGTGGGCGACAGACGACAGCCGTGTGAAGAGACTTTAAAGAAGTGCACTAAAAAAATATAGAGAACTAGTATAACTATGCCTAGTAATGTTAATCGTACAAGCACGACAAGGTTTATTATAAATGAGGCGAGATCATGACACCGTCTAGTTAACACTAGCTAGCACTTGTCAGGCAAGAGCGAAACGCTAAAATTCTCAAGAGTTTTTTGTATGTTTCGTTCTAGCTTCCATACAATAAGTATATTTTTGTGTGAAGTCGCAAGTGCAAAAACCAGAGCCTAACTCAAAGAACATAGCTATATATGTTACTACTTACAGCGATTATTGTCTGATTTTAACATTTTGGCTCTAAAAAATTTCAAGGAATATTATATAAACGTTTTGTGCGATGTTTCATGTTCCGTTGTTAACGAAGCCTAACTAGAGGAGATATTAACTCAGTCGTTTGTTTGGAATTCATTAATCTACAGGTCCTGAATGAAGAAAATTTTGTTGAAGCAGCATGGACGTTTTTCTTTAGGCCGCATAAAATTAAATATTTGATTGATTGATATATTTGCAAGTATCAGTACCTGTAAGTATTGTCGATCGGAAGAGACGTTGCCATTTTTACAATTATTGCGCACCTTTTAGCAACTTTTAGGAGCTGCGACTCGAGCTTAGCAAAGAAGCTCAACTTATGTGACGAATAGAAGTACTAACATTGTAAATAGACATGCAGCTAACAATGACTAATAACAATGATAATAAGAATATTAGGTACTCTAATAAAAGACATGCTAAGACAAAAGTAACCTTGATTTGGAAATTTGTCTTAATTTTTCGATTTTTTCGAGATCGAGTTTTGATAGAATTTAAACTCTCTGATCATCTAAATCTCATCACACGTTACACTTAACAAATGGGTAAAAATTCTATTTTTTTTTATTAAAACTGGAGTGTTGTACTTAGTGCTACGCTGAGTTCTACAAATTACCGTAGCGCATTTTTCTATTTAATTGTAATACCGTTATGACCGTTGGTGATTCGGGCGGGTTATGCCACTCGCTGTTAACATTGCTAAGGTGGCTTTGGAATTAAACATAATCAACGAATTGATTAGAGACGACACAGGGTATTGATGAAGCTGCTAACGTCCATTTCGCCCAGGCTGCTACAGCCACGCAAAGCAGTGAGGCCAGCCACGAACGTTCAAGGGTACCTACGACAAAAAAAATTTATTAAAAAATATTTCAAAAGATAGAATAGGAGGCAACTTTAATAAAGCACAGAATAATTTCGTCATGATCAACGCAATAACCATAGTAGCAGCTATGGCTCTGCAAATGTGCACCACGTTACAAAATTGAAACTAACGCGCTTATCGTAATCTATTAGATAAAAACTAAAAAGCTGTACAAAGGTAACAAACCATTATGATCACATACATTGTAACATGCGAAATTGTGCGAGAAGCCAATAAAATTCCGCTGCATATGCGGCAGCAACCAGAAACTCAACTGGACTCCACAGCACGATGCCAATATTGAGTAGTTTCGAAAAGCTAGACACCGTAACCAAGTAAAATACTCGCGACATGCTGAAATGAGTAATATCAGTTGCGTAATTTCTTCGTAAAAATATTAAATTTATAAACATATAAAAAGATATGTGGATAAATCTTGAAACTGGATCGGTTCCGTATTTTATTTCAAATTCCGTGCTCTCGAGCTAACGGATTAGAATCTTGTTTTTCACATATAACGTCTTTGTAGCAAAATACGTACGTATAATTATCAAACTTTGCAAAGGTGGACAAGCATACGTAAAGGACTGCTATGTAGGCCATCCAACCAAATGTGACCCGAACAGTCGTATCAAAAAGGTTCCACCGAAACGAGTCTCCTGTTTCTTCGAAGTTTTCCTCATAGCAACAAAGTGTCCACGACAGGAAAACCTATACAGATAAAACGGTGTCCAATTTGGTAAAAAAAGATATTTACACATATATTTGAAGAGTAGTAGATATTCAAAAGCTTGCTTCTAATTCTTTTTACTTTTCTATAATTCACGTTGTTGCGCAAAAGTGTTTTTTAGGATAACTGTAGAAAGTCGACCCGAACAGTGCAAGCAGACGAATACAGATGTATATATA